TATAGAGTGGAGTTTCATGTTAAAATCGTGAGACGAATTTGACGTTTATGAAGTGAAAACCTAACAAGTCCCTTTTACGAGCAACAATGTTCAAATTAAAAAAAAAAAAAATTACAATTAGATAAGTAAAGATCCAGTACGATCACAATAAGTCAAAACTTATCAAATCAGTTTGAATAGTGTGTACCAATAATATTCTAAATCCCATGGGCTGAGACAAGTCAAAAGGCATGCATGTTAGCACCGATTACCCTACAATTAACATCATTTTATGTACTTATTCTCAAATATTAGACCCACCTCAAATAAACAGGGACTTATCTTCGTAATATTAAAGCCCCACAACAGCAAATTGTCCCAAGTTACGTTCCTTGTACGTTTACATAACTACAAATTATAATCCTGCAAAGTGGCCCCTATAAATCACTAATTCACAATACAAATGACAAGCAACTTGTTTTAAATTCATTTGCTAAGGTACTTTTATTTGGTCCTGCACCACTTCCTTAGCCATCTAGCTAGATGAGAGTCATGAGACTTCTATTGGAGAAATTGGTGTTGGAAGGAGTATGTAATGTTCTGAAACGTACGTGCACAAGCGTATTGTGGTGGTGTTATGTCTCGGGTTTATATATCATGGCGACAAGGCTAAGGAAGGATCAAAATGGGCCAATGGGGCCAATTTATTTGCCTATGTTGGATGAAGCTCTCCTCAACAGAAATTATCCCACTCTGACCAGCACAAATCCTTCCAGGTGAACCATAAGGATAAAAAATGAACGCGCTCAAAACCATGGACTTCTGGTAGACAACAAGGATTGAATCGAGCATCTGGTGCCATACTGGCATACCTGTACCACTACTCAGAAGACTCAGAGCATAAAAAAATTGTTGTGATCATGAAATTATACCTTGACAGTAAGGTAAACAAGCTAAAGAGGCATCAGGGAAACGACCAGTCTACCTCCACGCTAAACCATCTAGGATCTTCAAGGCCTAGTGCAAACACAATAATACTTTAGAAGGTTCATACAAACTGCTATCAGAAAATTTAACTAAAAGTAGTCAAAATAGTATACTTGTATGTATATTAACCAATGAGCATAAAAATCAGACCTTCCTATTGAGACTGAGTTTGATTAACCCAATAATCTTTCTCCCACGTTTCCACCTGTTTCACTGCACTGTTTTTAGTCTTCAGTAGGGCTTGGAGAGCAGCCTGGTCATAAGCAGGAGGCATGGTGCATGGACCTGTAACTGAAGGACCCTTCACCAGTGATTCCATCATAAACTTTTTCTGTAAACCCACTGCAGGGCACCCCATGATCTCCGAACAAAGTTCCACTGCATTTTTCGGTATCTTGGGCTTGAATTTTAAGAGTTTGGCATATTCTGTGAGCAGATGTAACATGTAATCATATACATAGTCCATCTTCAAATCTTCCAGAATGAAATCACTGGCTGCCTTCCCAATGGCCTCAGCCTGATAAGGTCATGAAATTATATCAATTCAACAACTTACAAGATTAATAGTTTAATACTAATGCAAATCTCAGACTCTTTAAATTTCCTAGAAGAAACCTTAACTAAAGTTAATGAAAACACTTTTGAGGTTAACAGCTTTTAAAACACCTTAATATACACTTCATCCTAGATTCCTAATGCAAAATTGTCGAAACTTGGATGCACAAGAATGTCAGCAACAAATGTAATAGCTTTGGTTTGTAAAAGTTATACACTCCACCAACAAGATGCATCAAATACCATATACTTCGTATGAGAAAACTAGAAAAATCTGTTACCTTATCCATGTGTTTATTCCCCCATTCAACAGCGAACTTAATAGACCTACACTTGTCATCCCCCCTGATAGGCCAATAATGTTGCATAGGCATCAAACTTCGTGAAAAGAAATCGTAGTACTGTGGCTTTACTACCAGGGTAACAGAATCACATGAAAGGATGTACTTCTCACTGACTGACCATGCTGATCCTTCAATGTAGATCTTATACCTAGTCCAAGCCATACAAGTAAAAATTCATCAAATATTGATGTATCTTTAATAAGGCAAAGATTATCTTGAGAAACCAGGAAATCACTCCATGAATCATGAATGTCATGTACCTGTTTAAACACTGGCTTGCCAAATATGAATGCTTAAATCCTTCGTCTTTCTTTAGCCCAATCCTGCATTTGTTTTTGGAGGAAAACTATCAGTATATATGTAGGCTGTTATTTTCCTTTCTGATTGTTTGGCAAAGATAGGATGACTGCCACATCCTATCTAGCACCACCCTCTTGGCGCGTTAACCCCAATCCAATCATGCCCATAGCAGCAGAATAGATATACACTGGTATATTTCTACACTGTATTAATAAAAAGAGTAATAATATTGGAAATAACAAAGAAATGAACAGCATTTTACCTGTTTATACAAGCGAGCATTCCAGTCTTGCGTGTCAGAGACATTACACTTAAGAAGGTCCTTCCTGTGTGGTGCAACATTGGGATTTCCCTTCCAATAAGCATAAGGTTCTCTGACTGCAAACTTCACCCTCTTATTGCCTTCTTCAAGGTCCTTCGATAAAAACTCCCATGGCCTTATATTTACATCAGGCCTGTGAACAGATATTCTTCAGTGAGCAATTACATGTGAGGTAATATGAAAGATGAAACAGCTACTTCTCTTCTTGCTACCTACATTACATGTGTACAAACATTAAATATTAACTTGCATCAGATTCAAGAGTTAATAGCAGCATAACCATATATGAAAGCGCTGTAACCTTACCATCCCCAGAAAGACCAATCAGGGAAAACAATGTCCCATGTTTTATCATCTCCACAATAACGAAACAATGGAGGGGGAGCAGCAATACTGAAGGGCCAACGATGGGTTTTTATAATTCTCGGATAGTCATTACAGTCAAACATGAGCTCTAGATCAGGCACTCTACCAGGGTACCGCCTTAACAACTGTAAAATCCCCCAAAGAGTGAAAATATCTCTATCTTTTTGCCAATACTCATGGTACTTCTCAACATAAGCCTTTCCATTAGAGATAATCAATCTGAAATTGGCAGTTGGTTTAGCTCCTTCCACCATCTCTCTTGTAATACCATTCTTCTCCCAAGGCCGTAGATCTTCATATATCCATCGAAAATACTCGAGACATGTAGGAGGAGGTGGAGCATCAGGATCCAACTCTATTGTTTCAGGGTAATCAGCTGGACAGGTTTGTGTGATGTTATCATTAGAGCATTTAAGTGGAATTCCAATTTTTCTGTGAGCCTTTTTGGCAGTCTCAGCAGTTGTGTTGTTACTGACAGTTAAAATTGTTTGCTGCACGGACCCTTCAATAGGCTGAAACCACAAACAAGATTAAAGAATTTGTTAACAACAGTACAGTTTTGATTGTAAGGTATCATACCAAACCTGATTTCAAACACTTTATGTGAAGTATGTGGACAAAAGACAATGTAGTGATTCTTGTGAACACAGTATATTCATTCTATATGTTCTCCTTAGAATGTCTTTACTTTCTTTCTGTTTATCCTAGGTCCATACGAATGAATATCATTGTTTGGTTCGTGCGCATTACATTATGGGTCTATTATGTCCTCGTTGGATCGTAGAGCCAACTAGCAAAAGAAAGCCTCGATGACAATGATCCACACTGTTCTTTTCGGACCTTTACTTCCTACTATACACAGGCACACAGCAGATCTTAGCCGTCTATGCATAATTTTTTTGCCAGTTTTTCAAAATAAATTATACTTTGTATCCAAAAATTTCACACAAACATTTTTTTTTTTTCCACACGAACTCGTTTGGAATACAACCTATTTTTTGTGCGTGTGCATAAGGAGGTTTGAAGATAAGCTACTCGTGATTGGCACTTGGCATCAAATTTGCTATTAGAGTTTATGTATATCATTTTTCTTACATCAAACTTGTACTGAAAATAAACTGATGAAGTATTAATATTGATATGAAAGAGGAGAAGGAAGCAAAGGAGATCAGTAGGAAAAAACAGACTTACAGAGAAATTACGAGAATGAGTAGAGAAGAAAGCACCAACAAGAAGCGAGAGAAAGAAGAAAACAACGATTGCAGAAGTAGCAGGGAACTGTGTCAATGGCCGCAAGATCATCTCACAAACTCGAGCTAAACATCTCGAATTATTCACATAGTTACAATTCATCATCTTCCGTTAATCAGTAATCTCTCTCAAACTTACTTCAGCTCAACTGCTCAACAACTATATACTACTACGCATGCAATATAATCAACCACTTAAACTTAGCCTATTGGAAAAATAAAGATATATTTAAAGAGGCCAAACAATAAACAAACTGATAAGTTGGTTCAACCATAATATTTAAACCTTATTTATTGGCTGACAATCTTACATTTGGTTATACGAACAAAAGCACTCGATTATTAAAGTTAAATGACGCTATTTTGTGTTTTTAGCTTCTTACCATTAGTATTAGTGCTAGTCTAGTAAACTACTTCGTATAATAGTACTCGTGTTAGTTAGAGCAGTTGAAATGTTATTATTATTAATTGTACATCATCTCTCTCTTTCTTCGTCAGTTAGTCCTTTATATCTCTCTTCCTCACCCTGATTATTCACCTAATGAAAAACGTGTATATTTAATCATAATATATTTCTGATTGGCGGTGCTTTAAAACTCAAATGGTATTTTTCATCATTCAGACTTCAACTTTGTAGTACTTTGAAAGTTTGGATGGTTGTGGACTTGATAGTGATGCACTCTTGTAGTGAGTTAAGAATGGGAAAAGCACGCCCATGAGAATTGTACATATTAGACCATACCTGCCTGGCTGCCTGCAACACCTAGATTGGTATCTGCAGCAATCAAAACTGCCTTCAACACAGATAATCTGTAATTCAAGAGAGCGAAATGGTGGAATGTGACATATTTACCAGATTAAAGAACACTATGATCCAGTCAAGTAAGCACCAAACCAAAAAAGAAAATCCATGATACTTGCTACTATATATGAAGGAAATAAGTACAGTCACAAAAACTCTGACAGGAGTGAAACAGTTGAAGTATTTACAAGTTTACAACATCGGACTTAGATACACATACTCACATTTTGTTCGGCATCCTCCAAACTACCTATTAAGAGTATTGTAAATATGAAAACTTTATATGTAATCAAAACCACCACTTCCAGGTTGCTCTATATCTGGGTGAATCCCTCCTCGGCGACCACCGCGCCCAGGGTTAGGTCCTCGTGGGAACCTGTACAAAAATGACAGAACAAGAGATAAATACAGAGTAACACAACAAAAATATGCTTGACACAGACTGCTAAACCAAAGTGGAAGAAGGATGATATCTATCAATTATCAAACAGATATATTAAGGAGAAAGATAAGATCTTTACCTTCCGAAACGATCAGGCTCAAAACCAGGGACTCCTGGTGGACCATAAGGATCATATCGAGCACCAGGTGGAATACCACTGCCAAAAAACAAAAATTGAGTTGTGAATTGTGACCAAGAGAAAATCTTGAAATGTAACTAAGGTAAGATGCATAGGATGGATCAGGCTTTATTATTATACTCACAGTCCTCCAGGTCCTCCCGAAATGCCAGGGAAACCACCTCTGTCGCCGAGCCATCTAGGATCTTCAGGACCTTCAAACACAATATTATGTCAATTACTACAGAAGTTCACAAAAACTATAAACAGAGTGGCCATATCTGACAAACCTATGAGCATGGATCCACCGCCAAAATCACCCCTGCAAAAGTGTAAATGAGACGCAGGTTACTAATGGAGCAAACACGGAAATATGTAAGTATATAGGATGGTGTCAAAGTATGGGAGTATGGGACACACAAACCTAGAGGGATACATTCCAGCACCAGGACCTGGATACAGATCACTACCCCCAAATGGACTGACTGGAGGAACCACAAACCTAAAAAGAAATCAAAGTATAAGATAAATTAAAAGAGGGGGGAGGGGGGGATTAAGGAAAAAGCTTATAGGGTAAGTTATTTATCTTCAAGATTTTCATGACCATTTTAGAGTTGTTATCGACTATCGAGTGGCACTATGCATACGAAGTATAATACATTTATGAAAAGAAAGGAGTTCTTAGGGCCTTGGGGGAGGACAAGCAATTACCATGGATCTGACCTTCCTTTATAATGTTAAAAAAAATTCGAGACCATTATCACTATTTGTCACAAGACGACAGAACATTTTATCAGAGAAAACTTTTCTCTACTGCATTAAATCATTAGCCTTTAGATGGAACTTCAGGGTAAAATTTTAACAATTACAGAGTAATGTTTAGTCATTTATCACTATAAAATAAATTTGTTGGAAGTTGAAACCAATCAAACCATGTAGTTCATTGTGCTACCGATGATTATAAGTTTATGTATCAATCTTCCATACAGTATATGGCATAGTTCTTACATATAAACAAAAATGCCAACAAAAACTTTGAACAAACATGCTAGAGCAATAGATAAACCATCAAGCCTTATTTAGTTCAAATGAAATTTAAAATTTTTGAGTGTTTAAAAGTTACCCTGTCTGTGGGTCCTGCGAGCCAGTAGATCCATCAGGATATCTGTTTGCTTCCTCATCAGCAAGTAACCTATAAGGTGACAAAAGAAGCTATATAAAGAAACCAGCCTCTTATCCGCAACAAAATGCAAGTCAATAGCTCACTTCTCTGACTTCAAATAAACTTCATTTATCACTTATGTAATAATTTAGAATCCAAGATAGGTAAACGATTTTCACATCAAAAGTAAAAAAACACATATTCTAGATAAGACCTTTTTTTTAAAAGGAGACTTAGTTGAACAACGTATTTTGCTTACCGTGAACAATCTGAGCAACACTGCATGCCAAGACTATAGCTTAAGTAAAAATTCAAAAGTTTAAATGGCAATCACTAAGGGTTTAGAGTTTTAGACAATGAAGCATTTTTCAGGACATGAATCCACAGAATCAGGTATCAGCTATATGAAATAGACAAAGGCCTTACCTTGAGGGAGCAGACACAGAACCTCCTGGTGAAGATCCATCCAATTTAGAAAGCACATTTGACTCCAAACTGCTTACAAGCTTCCCTAAATTTTTATACTGAGCAGGATAATCACTTACTGCAGTCTCAGTAACATAATCATCAACACTGCCACAAGCACAACACCCATCAATAATCAATAACGAAACAACAGCGCAATACTGACCTCCGATTTCAATAATATATTCAATGAACAGAACAAAACTTCTAGTTAGACGAAAAGTATACCTTATTCCAAGGTGCACAGGCTCAGAAGCACCATCACTTAAAGCATCAACCATCAGCTTATCACCCATCACCAAGCACTTTACCAACACCTTCTTGTCACCCTTCTTAGGATTTTTATACACAAAAGCGTACCCGTTTTCCACTTCGTTCCAGTGATCAATCCCAACCTCATCTGAACATTCAAAACACAATTATCTTATAATTCTACAAAAATCTCTGAAATTGCTACAAAGTGAATACATTGTTCAACATCATCAAATCCAACCGTCTACGAGCAGCTAATTTTCATGAAAATTACATTCTAGTACAAGACAAACCTCCTAATCACAAAAATAAAAACAATTTTCGTAACTAATTTCATTAAAATGATCAATACCAACCTTCAGTAGTTCAGTGAATAACCAAAACCTTAAAGATTAATTTAAAGCATGTAAAATGTAATACAAAAATGTGGAGTATAATCACAACTAACTTAATTCCAATGATCAATTCCAATCTCCTCTAACCCACTGAAACCCAGAAAAATTACCCACTTTAAACAAAACAGAAAAAACCCCTCAATCACAAATATCAAAACAAATAAAACAAATAATCAAATTAACCATCAACCTCATTCCAATGATCAATTCCAAATTCCTCCCAAAAACAACCAAAAAAACCCAGAAAAATTTAAGAAAATAGATAAGAATAATACCATTTGAAGAGGAAGAAGAGAGAGAATTCTCGGCGAAAGCAGGGGGACCGGTGGCAGTGAGGACGTAACCAGCCGCTAGAAACGAAGAGTGGACGGCAAAAGCTAACTTGTCGTGATTGTTTCGGAAATTAGGTCTAGATGCTCTTATTACCAGCATTACTGAATCTTCTGTCACCATTGCTTCGATTAGGGTTTTTGATTTGGGCAAGATTTTTTTATCAATTCGATTTTCTGATGAAATTGAGTTGAGTATTGTCGGTTTTTGATCTTGTTTGTGTGAAAATTTTCTTGGGAAGGAAGAAAATACTACTAGAAGGGGTTCTTTTGGGGTTTATTGTCGGGCTGAATATTCTTGGCCGGGCCGCGGGCCAATTTTCCGGGTCGATTAATCTAGCTTATCTTATGCTTTAATGAAAAATACAATCTTACCTTTAATTAAAATAGTGAAATAGAGTTGTTTCAAAAAATAGTGAAATAGAGGTTTCAAAAAAAATTGTACTGTATTCCATATCTTGTACGAAGTACTTTTGTAGTTTTGTCTAAAAAAATGTGGAATTATATGGTAGACTTATTTTTATTTATCAATTTATTTTATCAAATAAAAAAATTATACGGAGTAGTATATAATTGAGATCATATGAGAATCTAAGGTTAAAATAGAATACAGAACCGATTTATTTTAATTTTATATGTGCAAAAAAACTAAGGCCCTGTTTGATTCATCTTAATTTTGCTAAACTGAAATTATTTTTACTGAACTGAACTTATTTTTACAGAACTGAACTTAATTTTACTGAACTGAAATTATTTTTACTAAACTTAAATTATTTTTACTGATTTTCAATTATAATTCTTCTTTAAGAAAACTGAATTTTACTGAACTGAACTTATTTTTACTGAAATGAAATTAATTTTACTGAAATGAACTTATTTTTAGTGAACTGAAATTATTTTTACTTAATATTATTTTTTTAAAGTGAAAAGAACAGGCCTAACAACAACATATCTTGTGCTATCTGCTAGATAAGTTTTCGTAAATAATTGCAATGTTTTCTTATGGTAGGAAAATCGAATATGTCATACTTCACGACTATTACCGTATACTCCGTATTATAAAAGGAGTGGAGTCCATAGTTGTACAATTGGCAATTTGGCATACTTTTTAGTTTTTACTTCTTAAAAAAGAGTTTTTACTCTTTATTCTTTATAATTAATGTAAAATTACTTGACTTCATTTGTTTGTTTGTTGGTTTTAGATAAGCCATGGATTACATGGATATTGACTTCGGGCCTGTTCTCATTAACTGAACTCACTTGAACTGAAATGAACTGAACTTATTAGAGTTAAACTGAACTGAACTGAAATTAATATTTTATAAGAGAAGGAAATTAGAAAGTGAACTGAACTTAGGGCCTGTTCTCGTTGACTAAACTCAACTGAACTGAACTGAATTGAACTGAACTAAGCTGAGCTGAACTGAACTGAATATTTTGTAAGAGAAGGAAAATAGGAACTGAACTGAATTGAATTGAACTGAACTGAATTTCAACGTAAAAGAACAAACCCTTATTAGAGCTAAACTAAACTAAACTGAAATGAATATTTTATAACAGAAGGAAATTAGGAGCTAAACTGAAGCAGGGGCGGAACTATGTAGGTGCATGGTGAGTCACGTGACTCACCAGCAAAAAAAAATAATTGATTTTTTTTAAAAAAAAAAATCAAAGAGACCTCCTATTATAGATGGGGGGTCTCTTTGCTGCTATTGCTGCCTAACATATCAAAGCAGCGCAACAAATATTCATATACAATGTCAGCAGAAAAAGAGACCTGTTATATTTAATAACAGGTCTCTTAAGTTATCTCACTATTTTATTATTTTTTTTTATTTTTTGTGTACTCCGTATAATTTTTTAATAATTCTTGTACAATAAAGTTAATTTAATGTAATAATTTTATAGTACTATTTGTTTGTAACATGTTATTTATTTGGACTACGTACTTTCGACTTGTAAGATTGAATTTTTAAGTACTATTGTAGTATGGATTTTTATATCCTATTTTTGGATTGAAATCATTTTGGTAAAATATATTTTTTATATATACATATATATAATTTTTGGATTGAAACAAGTGATCAGTTATTGATGGTGACTCACCAGTTCGAAAATCCTAGATCCGCCTTACTGAAGTGAACGTATTAAAGCTGAACTGAACTGAAAATAATCCTATGAGAACAAACCCTTCCTTCTTAAATTTTGAATTATTAGGGTTTAATGATAATTGTTTATTACTATATAAAAATCCTTTGTTATATTGAGGAATTTTTCTACATGCGTACATGCATGCTAACCATTTTGCCTACACAGTGTGATAGTGATGATGTTCCTTTGAAACATTGAAACTGCTATTAGCCTATTACTAACTTATTAGGATAAATGGAAACTTCATGGATAAATCTTCATTACTATAAAGCTATTACACAGTAAACTATTTTCTAGCATCAAATATTTACTCTATTTTAAGTATAATCGTGTTTTTTATTTTTTAACCTAACAAGCTGTAACACACAAATCGTCGTCTTAATAAAATACAGTCCGTATCAAATTTCAAACACATGCACAAGTAAAAGTTCTTCTACTACTACTCCGTAGATATCACACGAAGCAAGTATGTTCTGAAGTCTGAATTCATCAACTTTTTGAGAAAGTGGCACAAGGCCACGAGCACAGAAAACTCGTACAACAATACTTGAGAAAAAAAACTGTGCATCATCCTCCTATTGTTTATGTTCTGACATGTACATTTGTACCTTGTTACAAAAATTAATTAGTGTACTCTGTAGTATGTACTAGCTAGTTCATCCATCTCGTCCTACAAGTATGAAAGAGTCAACCAAACAAACATTCATTTTGTAGGATCAATCCCATCAACATTAAGCGTGGATTTGACTTCATCATTACTTTACACTTATTCAAATGACATCAGTAACAGTTTTTTTTTGCACTAATCATTTGCAAATTTTGCCATCTATGCATCAAGGATTATGATTATGTATGTCTACTTGAAAAGAGTTTGATTTTAAAATATATTGTAGAAGATTATTAACTTACTTAAAAATGATCGTTAATAAGAAGAAAAAAAAAACACTTTTAAAATCACTAGGATAATGCTGAGACTTTTATAGAGTAATGACAAACCTTTTTTTTTTTTTTTTTTTTTTTTTAACTTGTACATATAGGCATTAAGGGCCTAATCTTTTCAGCTTAATTTCAGTGTAGTTCCAATTAGTTCACTTGTGTTCAGCTCTCAATTTCCTTCTCTCATAAACAATTCATTTTAGTTCAATTCAGTTCAGCTCCAATAAATTCAGTTTAGTTCATCTCACTTCACTAAATCATAACAGGCCCTAAAGCATATGAAAGGGCACACATTGGTATGAGACTCAGGGTCTGTTCACATTTACTGAACTGAGCTAAACTAAACTGAACTTATTGGAGCTGAACTGAACTTATTGGAGCTGAAATGAATATTTTATGAGAGAGGGAAATTAGGAGCTGAACTGAACTGAAATTAAGTAAATGTGACAATGCCATCAAAGACTCCTAAATTCTTTGAAATTAATCATATTTACTATATTTATATATACCAAAATGAGAGATATATAAAGCATATTTAGAGGGGAATATTAACCTTAGTCAACAAGTAAACGAGTGAGGCAAAATTTAAGCATTACATCATACATCAATCCAGGTTGTCCCAAACTATAATCCATGGAATTAGAAAGCCATACTATATAGTTTAATCAAGAAGAAAAGAAAACAGGAACCAGCTAACACTTTGCTGTTCTGAGATTACGAGGAGTGTAAAAACATTGACGCAACGTTCGTTAAACATAATGAAGTACAAAAAAAACAAAGAAGAGTTTAAGCACTCGTAGTAAACCAATATGTTAATACAATTGATGTTGTCTTTCTTATTTATTTATTTATTTATTTATTTAATTTATACGGATTACATGCGAGCATGAAAATAACTATTTTAAATATATAATTAAAATTCTAACATTTTTAATTTCGACTATTGATAAGTTACTAAACTAAAGTATCATTCGCAAGTCCATTCACAACAACAAAATAAGAAGACTCTCTAAACTACTCTACATTAACAACACACAACTTTCTTACTATGTAGTGAACCTTAATCCTTAACCGCCTCTTCTCTATTGAATAAAACCGCTTATTTTGTAAGACACATGGGCCAAAAACAATAAAGCTAAGGATGTAGTTACTTTAGGCCTTTAGCTCTATACTCAACAATGTTCACCGCCATTGCAACATATAGAATGGTGATACATAGACATGAAAAGACAAAAGACCTTATCAAAAGGCTTAGCACTTTGCATCATTGGGTTCCTAGACTTGAATAAACATTACACAATACACATACACTTGATCATTTGATATGATAATACTCTAAAAATGGAACCCCAAAAGAGATACTCTCACGGATTTTAAAAACACGCGTGCCTTGGAAATTTTTTCCGAATTTCAAAACCCAATTTTACATTATTTCTCTCCTACTAACAAAGTACAGCTAGACTCTAGCTAGTGAACTTGTAATAACTTCATATTATTGTCTAACCCCAACTACCATACTACCTCCATAAATACTTGCCTATTTCTCCCTATAAATTAGCTTCTCTTTTTTCTTCTTTTCTTCAACTCTTTCTCTCTCTTAATCCTCTCATTAATCTCTCTTTAAATTGTTAGATTAAGCAACTCATTAACAAGGTTTTAATTTGGTGTTCTTTTTGTCTCTACTCTTACTCACATTTGAAGACTATACATTTAATTGCTTGGAGAATAGTTTAAGGATGTCGGTAAGTTTGTTTATGTCTCTCATCTCTTTTTTGTTCGTTGTTGCATGCTCTACTTTGCAAGCTCTTTCATTTATACATCATGCATGAGCTTAATTTCCATGTGTTTCGAACTCACATTATTGAATTCTTGTATGAAAAACAAATTATTAACTCAGTTATTCCAGTAGAGGGTAATGATATAGACGGAATTTGATTTTAAGTCTTAATAGTCAAATGGTATCTAAAAGACTTTAAGTAACTAAATTAATCGGTAATTATGTAGCTAATGAGGTCTTGACACGATTTTGTACTTTCTTATTCCAAGAAAATAAACTAAGCTCAGCTTTTTTAGCGTGGTCCAAATTATATCTCTTCAATTTGTTCTCTTACTAGTGTCCACCTTAATACATTAATCAAAGTTTTTTACTTGTGACATAAATTAAACATGCAACTCATGAATACTAAAAATGGTTAATTATTACATAATTTTCTTCTCAAATTTCTAATATTGTTATTTTGGTGAGCAGATGGTGGAAGTTCTAGTGCCAAACCTTGATTGTGAAGGATGTGCATCTAAATTAAAGAAGGCTCTTTACAAGCTCAAAGGTATAGTACTCCATTTTGTTTAATTTGTTTTAATTTAATTGTCGTATTTTAATTATAATTATAATTAGTAATTATGCTACATTTTAATTATAATTATAATTAGTAATACGCGTATAAATGTGTGAGATCTTTGTCTTGTACTTGGTATGAAACGTAAATTGGAGCGCAAAAAACAGGTCATTATAGTAGGGGCCATAATTGCCATTTGCACATACATTTCCTTTCTTCCAGACTACATGATGGCCTCCTCTTTTTTTGTTTGCCACCCTTATATTTCTAGAGTTAAATCATAATTATGTTTGAGTAATTATCCAAATTTTTTAGTTATTCAAGTAGTTATGTTAGCCCTAATTTTTTTTTTGTTTTTTTTTTTTTCCGATTATTATGTGCTAAGAGACTATTCAATTCAAAATGTGGTCAAGTTTTAATCATAGGGAAAAGTAGTCTTAAATATTATTTTAGGACCGAGGGAGTATGTAATTAAGTATTATCCATATGGTGTTACTGTTGCTTCATTCCAGAGCTACACTATATATTTGATTAATATTCAGATTATAGTAATGATAAAAAAAATGAAATTAATAATAAATGGTCTTAAAATTTTTGGCGCCGGAAAAAAGTTTGACCAAGACCAAATGAAAATGTGTTGGGCTAATGGCCATTGGCCCCCCCTCTCGCAACGTAACAAATGGACATGTATGACAGTTGAAGAGAAAAGCTGTAATTAGGTGACCAGCATTCTGTTGTTAACTGGCATCTTCTTTTTTTTTTTTTTTTTTTTTTTTCTTGCTTTTATTTTCCATGTATTCGGAAATTATTAGGAAAAAAAAAAGTATAGATTTATTATATAATATTTTAGTAATTATCCATGGTTCATGGACCATGTCAAATTATTGAGTTTACAACGTCTATCTAGCTAGCTAACATAACTTTCAACTCTTTTTTTTTTCAAAATGAGAAAGCAAGATCATGTGTCAATGTGTGTGTATGTTGCCATAATGCCATGATAATTAAATACGTAGTATGAAGTAATTAATAATGTATCACTTGTTAGAATTATAGTTGGCAAATAATGAAAAGCATAGAAGATGTATTGGGTGTAGCCAGAATAGATAGAGCCACAAGAGCTATGATATAGACACGACTCAATCCCTAACGTTCAACTCTGTATAGTTTTATAATGCTCATCTTATGTGAAAAAGTTGACAAGTCATATTGCATTGATTGATTACGCATGTACTCTTTAATAGTGCGGTAACTATTACCCACTCATGAAGACATGCAGTGGTTATGAGAAATTGTGTCATATTGATAATGTTGCACTTTTACCCTACTATATATTGGTCCACTAAGCCCATCTACTGTAAGCTAACGGCCCATATATTGGCTCTCAACCGGCCCAATTTACAACCATGGGCCCATTTATTTAGTCTTGAACTTTATTTGTTTAATGCAATCCAATAACAAAGTAGTTTATTTTTTTATAATTGCAGGAGTCGAGGATATAGAAGTAGAAATGGACACACAAAAGGTGACAGTAAAAGGGTATAGACTAGAAGAAAGGAAAGTAATCAAGGCTATTAAAAGAGCAGGAAAAGCAGCTGAACCATGGCCTTTTCCTTCACATTCTCACTATGCTTCATTTTACAAGTACCCTTCCTACATTACCAACCATTACTATGACACTTCTAATGGCGCCGCCCCAAGTGTCCACGCTTTCTTCCATACTCCGTCTGTGTACTCTGTGGCCGTGGCATCCGATGAGGCCGTGGCTTCCATCTTCAGTGATGATAATCCTCACGCTTGTAGCATAATGTAAATTCATGTAGTAGTAATTAGTGGCATGACCTAGATCACTTTTGCATATTGCACATTGTGTTCTAGGAAGTGTATGATCGATGTATTGATTGATTATTTTATGTATTATGAAAGTGTACTGTGACCATTTTTTTAAATCTCTGAATTTTTTCTTTTCATCCAAAGTTTCAAGTGCATTACATACAAAGTATATGCTTCCCCCTAATTTAATCACCATATTTTGAGTGTTTTAACTCATGTGTAACTTTGGCTATTTATGTATAATACTAGCTAAGCTAGTCTACATTTATCGTTCAATAACATATAAGATTAATTAAAAGTTTACAATTTGAAAGATATTATGGAGTATATACTCTTTTCGTCTCTTTTTTATAAGACAATTACCATTAAAACGTATATGGAGACGAAGGCATAAAATCCACAATGTGGTATGCTTCCCCCCAAATCTCCAAATGAAGAGAATCTTTGAAAATGGTAGAAAAGAAAGGAGGCAATTCTCTCAAAAATGGACCCCCAAAATCCTCCAAAAGTTTGATGGCCACCTCTCTTTTTCAGTTTTTTCCACGCTTGTGTTTGGACTATAGAATATACGGATCATGTTGTCCAAAACTATAAGTCTTCACTCGATATGATTTACCCTCTACATCTAGTTGATTTTGATCATTTACGAGTACTGGTTTATTATTATTATTTTTTGTTATACCATATATGGGTATGCCTAAATTAATAAAAGTATATTGAAAATTTATTAAGAAGTGTAGTAGTGTCGTTACTCCCTATCTCATATTCATGAGGCCATGAGGTGAAGGGATCAAACCGTATGAGAATCATTTGAAGTATTTCTCTTATCTCCCTCAAGTGAATCACCTTTTTAAGGTGGATCGGTTATTAACTTATTAATAGAGAATATTTAATGTGAATCTCAAACTCTAATTTATGGTTATGTTACATTCTTTTTCGAATTTTACCTATTGTAACTTATCTCATCTTATTATTAAAAACCTATTAAACGTTATAAGAACTTACTTTGTTGTAAAATGAACTAGGTTGTCTAGGTAACCTTCATTCAACTATTAACTTATTTTTTCTCAACTCATCATCTTATCTAACACTAGATTGGAGTTTGAAAAGTAATTCACCTAATTAAGCTAGTGGATGAAAAAAATTCCGTAAAATTCAAAGTTCATAATCTAGAGTAACAATGACCAAATTTCTTTTCTTAAAGAGAACATAAGAAACTACTGTCTACTGAGCATCTTCATTTGGACAAAGCAACACCTAATTAATTAAGCTAAATGTGGAATTGTTTTGCAACTGGGGAATTTGTTACAAAAGTTCAAAAAATTGTGAGAATACCCTACAATATTACACAATTTCAATTTTTAAATGGTAGGGTGATTCCATTTGTCTGTTTAATTTGTACACTTTCATACTTGGACTCTTCTCTCACACTTTATTAACTAAAATGTAGCCTCGAGATTTTGTTACCTTCATTATTTTTTTTGCTTTATTGAGTTATTTTCTACGAGTTTTTCTTATTTTATTTTTTCACACGTGCGTGATTTATTATCATTATTTACATATTTTTTAAGTATTTTTTGACAAATACTCATATCAATGTTTTTTAAAAGAAAAACTCCATATTTTTGTTTGAGTATTTATTACTCCGTATTACGTTATTTTGCTTTTAAATAATGGTTACACTTACACTTTATATTGATATCATTTTAAAACATAGATCCATTGGTAAACTTTAAAACAAACGTAAGAGTACAACTTTTCATACTCAACACTGGATGAACTCACGTACATTATTACTCTTTTCTTGCAATATATAATTCAAAACAGAGGAAATATGTCAATACGTGTACGTAATAATCGAATACTCGTACGTACTCCGTAGTAGAGTACATTAGAGTGATACACTGATATATACCGACTACCGAGTATGTGATTAAGATTTGGTACGAGCCTACGATTAACCATATTAGAGTTACAAAGTGGAGCACAGCGAGTGCACGTAACATCAACCAAGAGACCCTACACACACGCCAATTTCTCATTTCCCCACTTTATTTTTTGTTTTTTCGTTTGTTTAAATGCTCTACTCTTAAATTCAACTCTCTTCATCTTCCTTCTCTTTCTTTTCCAACAATTTTTTTCAGGGTGAAACTTTCTTCAACTTCTCCTTTTTTCAAAATGGCACAGGTAATTTTCTCTCTCCTCTTCTATTCTAAAATTCCATTCTTTTTCTTCGTATTTTGACTAAATTTATGTGATTTTTGGTTAATTTTTCTCAGCAGAAAGTTGTGTTAAAGGTTCTAACCATGACTGATGAGAAAACAAAGCAGAAAGCAATTGAAGCTGCTGCTGATATCTTTGGTACAAAATTTCATATTTTTATATTATTTTCTTATTTGTTGTCGCATTACTAGTTTAAATTATACTGTCAACGTGACAACTAATTCTGAACCCGAACAGGTTAATTATTATTATAATATTAAGAAATAGTATTGACATTTGATGAACAGGGGTGGATTCAATAGCAGCAGATCTTAAAGAGCAGAAATTGACAGTGATTGGGCTAATGGATGCAGTAGCAGTTGTCAAGAAATTGAAGAAAGTTGGAAAAGTTGATTTGATTTCAGTTGGTCCAGCCAAAGAAGAGAAGAAGGAAGAAAAGAAAGAAGAGAAAAAAGAGGAGAAGAAAGAAGAGAAGAAGGAAGAAAAAAAAGAGGAGAAAAAATAATTTAATTTTCCTAATTTTATTATTTAGTTTTTATTATAATACATACTAAATAACCATAATTCATCTTATACAGAGTTATTATTTATATATAGTAATTTCTGCTGGTTAATAGTGTTTATTTTTGGTAGGTGATAAACTATTGAAACTTTTTTATGAAAAAAAAAAAAAACAAGTTGTTATGGAAAAATCATAATTTTAACCTAATTTTTGCAAATATTGGCATATGCTTTTGTATTTTTTTAGTATGATGAAAATATGATGCAAAGACTCCACTATGAAATTGGTGATTGGTTAGATATAAATATTAACACGGTGTAACTACCTTGTAAATATAGTTTGTTCTCAATTGGGATAAGATTAATTTGCAAGGATTGTGTGTAAAGTGTTCCCTCTTTTTCAACCATTATTAAGCAAATTTCATGATATCATATATATTTATAAGGTTTTTTTTTTTTTTCAAATATTATTTTATTATTTTCATACTCCGTGGTATTTAGGTTCCATACGAGATGAAGTCGCTTGAACTTTTTATTTTTTTTATTTTTTTATCTTATTAGTCAAATCCTCTTAAAGTTACAAGTTTGTCAAGACGAGATTAAAATAGATTGTATTTAACTATTTATACAATCTTTTATGTTGATTAAATGAAACTTTGTTTTTAGTCGTGACACATTGACACCCCAATACTCCAATAGTGACCATTGACATATGTCAATAGCCATGCCATTGAAATAAGAATAGTGGCATTCTTAGGTTTCACGCAAAATTAATTTTAGAAGGGTCATTTTTTCATTCATAAAAACGTCCACTAATCCACTATAAGTGGACAGAATGTGGACAAATTCAGCAACTAGAAACAATAAAATCAGAACAAATGGTGGTTCCAAAAATAATTAAGGCACATAATTTACATTCACAGCATGAAAATGATATTCTACAATTGGAGATATGTTATGACTTCATCATGTATTGTATCATTCATTCTGAACAGGATTGCTAGATAACGACTTCATTTTGTCATCACATTAATTTTATAATAAGATCAACATTGCCTTATTCATGCTTCACATATATGATTAATGGCTATGTGATGTCATTATATTCCTCTTATCATATTATAAGGCATTAAGATTATTCTCTTTGCATATCTTCTACTTTTTTTAAGTTTTCTGTGTAATCTTATTAGATTCAACTCCAATTTAAATTGCAGTTTTGATTTTTTTTTTGGTCAAAGATGCAAATTGGAGATGGTGCAATTGAGTTTAGGGCTTGTTCTCATACGTTGAAAGTCAGTTCAGTCCAGCTCAACTCAGCTCCGCTCCTAATTTCATTCTCTTATAAAATATTCATTTCATTTCATTTCAGTTCAGCTGAGTTCAGTCAATGACAACAGGCCCTAACTTTGATTCGGCGACTATTTAATTTAAACTTTTAACTTTTTGATTAAAATACTAGTAATTCGTACTCTATAATGTATTAAGTGGCTATAAGGTAGTTAGTTAGCCGACTAGGCGACTATTGTCCAATTGTCCTTACGTTTTGTCCCCTGCATTCGACGAATTTCGTTCTGGCATCTTAATTCCTTGATATATACTGTATATTCTATATGTCTATATAATCAAACAAGTCGGCCAAAAGGAAGCAAAATCTAATATAAGTACTGCTTAAACTATAAACTCTACATTTTGAATTCCCTATTAAATTACCAGTTCACACGAAGCTAGCTAAATCACCTACCAATATGATACTCGCTCATCAGAAGTTAGCAACAGCGCCTACCATTCATCTATCTACGAAGTAGATAACTTAGAAAGGCTGCCTTTCCATTTTGGGTGATGCTAAATACGAAGTAGAACATATTGATATCTAAAATATTAATAGGCAAACCATCCTTCGGAAAAATCATTTTCATCGGGGACTAATATAATAGGTCACATTTGAACTTTTTAGTCGAACACAGCGACTACAGAGTATTTCAGATCATTGTCAACATGTAAAACATATAGGGCGAATAAAGATTATTCAATGGAACTTTGGAAGCATTAGTTGGATAAATCTATCAAAGCATTATTTGTATTGTTTATCAAAATGTAGGACATTATTGTAAGCTTCAATTGTAGAAGCTAACAAGTTCTGACCTCGAATCAAATTATGGCTTTTGTTTTTGGCAACAGACAGACGAGTAATTCTTCAAGGTTGCCAAAAAAAAAAACTATCAATGGAGTGGCCCAAGAAGAAATCTGATAGACCAGAAGTTCCCTAATTACCTCTCTATACATACAAACTTTTGCCAATCTCTACGTGTACTATGGTTTAAGAGTCCTCCGTCACAATAAAGAAACCATCTCAGCAAGATGGTGCAGTCAATCTACAGGGAATGCCCAAAAATATTATGACGGGTAGGGAAAATCCACAGGAACTACACAAACAGATAGTTTTTCACTGATGCACAAAACTTTAATTCCGAAACTCTATAGTCGAATAACTCAGGAGTCAGGACTATAGAATAGGGATCTTCCAGTGGCTGAAAACCAAACCTGCAATTTTAGGCAGAAACTAGTTTAGTGTTTCAGTGTTGCTTATCTTCATCTTTAAATCTTGCTAAATACATGTCAAAATCCTGAAACCGTAAAACATTAACATTTCAGCAAAACAGGGCTCCAAACCTCTAATTATGGTTTCATTTTTTTTTTCTAGGTGGGGGTGTAGGTTATGGTGAATGTGGTTAATGTTGTTGTTTGATGCCCATGTTTATTGACAGCAATGAAACTTGGACAGCACATTTGAAATTTAAAATAAATACATATACCACGTAATTTTCAATGATAGCCATCAATTGAGTTGTGAAAGCATACCAAACAAGCATCTCTTCTTTATAGGGATTGCATCCACAAAATATGATGATGTAGCACATTGCAATCCAGACTTTGCAGCACTTCAATAGAGGAAAGTTAAAATGGAGAGCTGCAAAACAGTTAGATAAATGCTTCACAGCTATATACAAGACCAATCATGCAGAATGGCAAGTTCAATACTACAGTCATAAATCATAATACATTCTACCACAGACAGGGGAGCCTGGGGAACCTAGAGCGTGAACCAACGGATATAGTGGAACATGCATGTGTGATAACACACTTCATCGATTCCTCCAAATGAAAATAATGAATGATAATGAGATAATTTCTTGAGCAGTCTAATAGTTATTGCATCATGAATCTATTGTCAAATAAGTGGGCCTCTAGCTTCTAAGATTGGGTACCTAAATGGTCAATTATCACAAGACTCAAGAACAAGAAGCATTTATGTACTCTAGCTGTTCTTCAGGGGAAAAGAAAGTAATTAAAGAAGATAAGAAACAATCAGATAATGTTTAATAGCACAAAAGACACACACACCAGAACTTGGCATGTTGGCAGCAAGAGACAGTATTACATGAGTATAAAGTAGAGTAATACATAAGACAAAGCATGAACTTGATTCAAATTGACATTACTTTCAAACAGAGTGAAAGTGCAGGAACACATCAAAATATCCAAGAAGCCATTAAAAATAAACTGTTCTAATCTCTGAGATTTGAGAGCCTGTCACCATGTCACGTCCTGTTAACGTACATGCTTACACTATCTGACATTTATAACAAGTTTTGACCATAGAAAGGGGTAGTGTTGCCAATTTTCTATGAAACAGAAGCACTAACCATAAGGTTTAATCTTAGTGAACAGCATGGCAGTGCAATTTCATAATAAATGCTTGTAATAATTGCACTGAAACACTGGGAGGCACTCTTCATGCTCCACATACTTATCCTTGTGAGTCCACTTTCTAACTCTGATGATATCAAAATTGAGGAAGAGGGAAACTGCAACTTTTACCTCATAGGGCAAGGGAAGGTTTATTACAGGCAGATCCACTACGTGATAATATATGTTTTTCTTGCCCACAAAAGAGTTTCCTCTATCGAAATTGCAATTTCACTAGCATGGCAATGATAATTCAACAAATGGAGGTTACAAAATCTAGTCTCCTTACCTCAATTCCATCTTTACAGATAATAGCAACTGGCATGAATTAGAGGAAGAAGCAGAGACAGAAATGACTTTTCAGAAAATAAAAGATAATTTTAATTTCCAGGCAAAGCTACAAGCTAGTGAGTCTAGCTCTAATTGAGAAAAGAAAGGTTGGGCACTAGAGCACTTCTTCTCTTTCTGCCATATAATAAGAATTTGAATTATCATTCTTTTGCAGGAATAACTATACCAAACCACACTAGCCGAGGTTCTCACATTCTCATCCTAGACAGGTGAATGTGATCAACAAAATACTCAAGATCCCAGAAGAGTTGTGGCCATGATGGAAGTAAAAACATCTTCGGAATAGCAGCAAAATCAAGTAGGCTCTAATGTTTGAGCAGCATACACGATTCTAGGCTCTAATGTTGCTTAAGATAAGGAGCAAAATCAAGTAGATCTAATATTGCTTAAGATGATCTTCTCAACTAGAAGATAAGTAGGCTCTTATGTGGCATACACATTTGTCAAAAACCTCTCAACTAGAAGATAAGTAGGCGCTAACGTTTGAACAGAATACATATTTGTCAAAAACCTTAAAGCATGCGCACCTTAGATGTCAACATCATCAGCAAAAAATGAGGAAAAGAGCATACATAAAATTACCCAATGAATAAGTAAACAAAGAAGAAATAACATAGAAACGCACAAAACCGAACAACAATCACCAAAATCTGAAAGGAAACAACTTAAAAGCCAGTAGAAAGATATCCATTTCCGCGAGGAAGTAATTGCTTTATCAAAATGGTGATAATTACCCGACAAAGATGACATCGAATGTAGTGAAAGGCATGATGAAACTTGGACAAAAGGCATAAGCATATAAATTATTAAGGCAAAATGTGGTAATGAAAGAGTTTGGCATACCATGACATCCAACACAAGCAGCAGCTACAAACTGTGGTGTGTAAACAATCAATGAACATTCTGCAATAAAGTTACAATGCCAAAATCCTGTAATTCAGTATCTCCTATATCTCTTATATCTTGAGATGCGATGAACATATTGTCCTTTCTCGATCATATCTTTCACTATTTCATGTGCTTCGGAAAGTTTCCCATTGCTTCGCAAGTTACTAATTAAGGTATTGTACACAAGAAAATTTGGGCTGCAATTTCTCTGTTCCATTTCCTTAAGCATAGAGCATGCATCCTCAAATTTCCCAGCCATACAAAGTCCCCGAATCATGGAGTTGTACGTAAATACATTTGGCAGCAGTCCATCTGAAATCATATCTTTGAACAACTGCTGGGCCTTCTCTAGCTCTACTGCTGCTATATATCCACTGATCAAAACAGTGTAACTGACAACATCAGGGTTGAACCCATTCTTGCTCATTTCATCAAAGAAGTACTTGCAAGCATCCATATTTCCTGCCCGGCTCAGACCATCCATCAAGGAAGTGTAGTGGAGAGAGGATGGATTTATTCCAACTTCCCTCATATGATTCAAAAGATTAAGAGCAGCATATGGCTTATCCGCTTTTCCAAGAACATGAAGAAGAATGTTAAAAGTATGGCAATCTGGAGATAGTCCATTCCTACCCATTTCATCCAGCAACCGATGGACATTATCCATCTTTCCCAGCCTATACTGTGCACAAATGAGTATGTTATACGTTAGGATGTCAGGTAAATGATAATCAGCCACCATTTGTTGATAAACCCAATCAATTAACCTGTGCTGGTTTATTTTAAGAAGGCAAACCAAAATTGCATTGTAGGAATGCTTGAATGGGCGGTAATTGAATGTCTTTGACCTAATGAATCTTTCAACGATTGTTCTTCGCAATCCTAATTCACGACAACTACCAATCAAAATATTAAATGTTCTTGCAGTAACCGGGTAACCCTTCTCAGTCATTTCATCAACTAACCGCCACATTGCTTTAAACTCCTCAGCAGCTGCAAAAATTTTCATTAGCAGATGATATGCATTCAGTGGATGCCTATAGTATTCCTGCTCACTAGACCATACAAAAAACTTGTAGGCCAATTTGGCACACAAAGTCCTATTTTCATGGTTTACAATCTTCAAAATCTTCAAGAGGACATCTCTTACAAGCAGGCCTGAAATCCTAATATCCAATTCAAGCAATGCCGGTTTCACATTAAAACCCGGACCATCTTGCCTTAGTACATCAAACACCCTATCTGCATCTCTCCACGTAGTCTCAAAAAATTTCTCCTTGAGATTACAGTTACCCTGAAATTGGCTATCGTCATCATCCTCTTTACTTGCTTTATCTACTAAACCCGGATCAAAATCCAAACTTTTCCCAAATTCCCTAATCAATTTTTCAATAGGGCTAAACTCTTTGCTAGCATCATCCTCACCACAATCTAAAGTACAATTACAAAACACCCGTGATACAGAACGTATAAACGGGCCGGGATGCAAAACCCTTCGACCAAATTGAGCAACAGAGTTCATAATCAACAAGATTCAACAAATGGGCAGATCCCATTATCTCAATAAATTCAAAAAACCTAACGAATTCGAGAAACCCAGAAACAGATTTGAACATTCAAGTAAGTATATCACCAATTGCAACGTTCCCATTAAAATTAAGAACCCTCAAGTCATAAATGCAAAACCATCTTCAGAAATCAAGATAAAAATATACCAATATTCTTATCAAATCAAACTAAATAAGAAGCTTTCAAGCACCAATCTTCACGAAGAGGGTTTAGTGTGTAAGATACGAGAGGATGTTAAGGGTTTTGTAGCTTTCAAAAGGATTAGAGAGAGAAAGAATCAGAGAAAGCTTACTTGGTTGGTTGATTGATTATCGGAAGAACTGGAAATCGCAGTAGCAGTTAAGGTAATCACAATAGAGATGAAGATGCTGGTTCCCGAGTGGCGGCACAGCCTCAATGTGGAGGTCTCCACTATCCACCTCTTTTTTTCCTTTTTTTACAACTTCCTACTCTGTAAGTTTTTTCACTTCAAAGGAAACCAACTCAAAATGGCTTGTGAAACGCTGTTTTGTTTACCTCATTTTCATTTACGGGTATTTTAGTCTTTTAGATCACATAAGTTTAGATACATAATACACAATACTCCGCTCAATATATAGATAATACGAAATAATGCATAGAGTAATAGTATTTCGTATAAAAAAAGGATTGATAAATTCCAATAGGGTCTTATATAATACCAACTAGATAAGATTTTTGTATAAATTAACACTAAATGAGTAGCCGTTAGTTGGTAGCCGTGTTTATGAATTGAATTCAATTAGCATGTGATGTGATAATACGTTATTAGATAATGTGGTATTTTTTTCCGCCCTAAATGAGCAGTAATAAATCCATCTCCTATACTGAGTATTAATCCATGAGTGATTTAGGATTTGTGAAGGAAGAATAATACTCCATGACAACACTTTAAATTTTTTTATCTTCATGGCAATTTATGTTGGTCAGTTGATTGTGCAATTAAGTTACTAATCTTACTATGATTACAAAATGGTTGTTTAATGTTTAAACATATAAACTTGTTGACAGAATATGTATTTAATGAAAATAATCTGAAAATTTTTATTACATAAGTAGTCTAGTTTGTACAAAAGTAACAGATTAAGGAAGCTATGCTATTCGCTATCAACCAATTTCACTCTTAATTTTATTGTACACCCGATTTACAACAATGTTGTAATATTTCACTCTTAATTTTATTGTACACCCAATTTACAATAATATTAGATGACGATAGTAGATCTGCTCTATCATTGGTAATGTTGAGCTCAGGGAGATACCGCTCAAGGTTTGTTTACTAATCTGAATTCAATTTGTTGATTGTGATCATGCATTCATGCTTGCTCTAGTCAATGATCAAATCATATTTAGTTGGTAATATTGGAAGCAATATATTGTTCCAAATTAGTTTGTTCAACTCCTGCAGCAAATACATATTGGAAGCACCATTTAGAGTATACATACACACATTTAGGAAGAGGTTCAACGAGCCTGTATATAAACAACATGACATTATAAGATCTATAACATTCACAACCTCTGGAAAATGTCCAGTTCCTTACAAGCGACAGCAGTCGCTAATTCAAGTACATGTCTAGTATAGTACCATTTATCCCACCACATAAAGCAAACTATTGTGTAAAGAGGATTACAAACACAAATCTCCCACAGAAGCAAGCATATCTAAGCACATTATTACTGAAGCCCTGATCCCCTTCTCTTTTCTGCTCACTTTCCATGCTAGAAATTACAGGAGATGCTTCATTACCTGTCACAAGAAAACACAGCAAGAGTTAACATTATTCGAGTAACTTTGATTGCTACCACATACAATTCCTTGTTTTAAACCAAATACCAAGTACATGCTATAAATGTGTGCTTACCTTCTACCATATCATCCTGTGATGGAACCTCAGTACCTTTCTGATACCAGAAAGTGGCAGCATCTCTGAGCCTGTCGAATACACCCTTCCCAGGACTAGCCATACCTGTACCAGCGTTATCATAATTTGTCTCCTCACTTCTACCAAACTGTCGTGCCACCTCTTCTGACTCCGTTACTCGCCCTATAATTGTCACTTTATCTCCTTTCCCTTCCTCCCCAACTCTGCTTACATCCTCCTTACGCTTGTGTAAGGGCAATGCCTCAGTTATAACATCGGATAATGCCTTGTCTTCTTCTCCGGGCTTCAGTTTCTCAGCCAAATACTCCTTCAATGACACCCCCTTATCCATTTCAGTATTAGGCCCAGGATGGACATCACGTTCCGTCCCTGAATCTTGCATCTTCAAGGCCACTGTCGCCACATTACCATACACAGATGCCCCTCCTCTGGATTCCCCTTCTTTCACATGAGGCTGCTCTTCTTGATTTCCACCATAGCCTAGCGTAGTAGCTACAGCATTCTTGGCCTGTACAGCCTTATCAGTGATAGAAGCTGTAACATTCGATATTTTCTCCTCATAACCCACTGGCTCGAACGATTTTTCATGCATTCCTGAAGATGCATCAGCTGAGTGTTGATCAGAATTATCACCGTACCCTAACTTTGATGTAACAGAACTAGTGGCTTGCTTTGCTTTATCAGCAACCATTGCAGCTGCAGATGATATCTTTCCGGTGTAACTTTCTTGCTTCTGTTCTGGAATTTCATGTGATTTCTCACTGTCCGGACCAGTATCTTGAAGAAATACACTATCCTCAGAACTGGTTGGCTCCGGAAAAAACTGATCATGGCTTCCAGTGAAGACATTCTCGTCTTGTGGACTATGTTTTGTTCTGTTCAGTTGAGCATCATCAAGTCTTGAATGTTGGTGTGGTTCGTCATGAACATTCATCTTATCAAACTGATGAAGGATTGGAGTAACACCTACTTCTTCACCACCTGAAAGAGAGTAGAAGCACATCAGTAACATGCTCATGTTGTAGTAAACTAGTAACCTTCATTTATCAGCTCTACTAACTAAAAAACTTTGTTTAACTAAAACCACTATTGAATTTGTTAGTAATAAGAAATAGTTAAAAACAAAAATTAATCAAGATTGAAGAGTTGCATATTGGAGAGACAACTTTTTAGCCAAAACAAGTGAAATTAAATCATACCCATGCCTGTTGGACCTCCAACTTTAGTCTCATAATTTCCAGCATCACGTATTTCCCCTACACCTATAGGAGTATTAAGATCCTTGTCCAACATTTCCCCTGAATTCTCAAGGAGGCCACCAAACTTCCCCGTGCCTCTCTCTTCATCAGCACCCATCCGATGATTTCTAGCTGTATGAGCTGAAATGGGTGTATTCTTTGATGCATTGGACATTTCTTCTAACCTATTTGGCCTTCCAGTATCAGTTCTAGACCAATCCAAGGTCTCTTCTTGACCCGGAACATAATTTGTAGTAGTAGGAACAAAAGTCAGACTATCGCCTTGCAGCTTGCTTCCCGGGGCATCAGTCATACCTTCCATTGCAGTGCCTTCACCCAATTTACTTCTTCTTTGATTGCCTTGCATGAAGCTTTGAGCAGCTGTAGAATCATATCCTATCAATAATAAGAATAAAGCAATGGTTAAACAGTTTCACAAAATTACAGTAAACTCTAATGCTAGCTAGTGGCTTAGCCATTTAACCTAATCAAGATAGCAATTCACATGTTAGATGCTTTGAGTATCTTAGTTGTGAAAAATAAAATAAAAATATGTAGAATTTAGGCATACAAGATTTCTACCTGAGTGAGCTGAAACTGGATTACTCTTCGATGCATTCGACAATTCCTCTGACTCGTTTAGCCTTCCGGTATCAGGCCTAAACCAATCCAAGGTCTCCTCTTGTCCTGGAACATAACTTGTAGTAGTGTGAACAAAGGTCACATGATCACCTTGAAGCTTGTCTTCAGGGTCATCAAGCCCTCCTTCCATTGCAGTTCTTTCTCCCAGTATACTTCTATGTTGCCCTGGCATGAAGCTCTGAGGCATGTAAGTATCTGAGGAATCGTATCCTATCAATTTTAACAATAAAACAATAGGTTAACTCATTTAATAACTTGCAGTACGCGGAAAAAAAAAAAAAAAAAAAAAAAAAAAAAAAAAAAAAAAAAAAAAAAAAAAAAAACAGTCAAGATGTTAGATTCCATCTCAAATTTTTTTTGTGCCAAAAAAAAAAAGGCAGGCAAACAAGAATTCTACCTGCATGAGCTGCAATTGGTGAATTCTTCGATGCATTGGACGGTTCTTCTGAACCATGTAGCCTTCCAGTATCAGTTCTAGACCAACCCAAGGTCTCCTCTTGTCCTGAAACATGACTTGTAGTAGAGCGGTCAGATGTATGAAAGTCGTCTAGATATTTGCTTTTCGGGGAATGATGAACCCCCTCTCTTTCACTTCTTTCACCCAAATAACTTCTATGTTGCCCTGGCATGAAGCTCTGAGTAGCTGTAGAATCATATCCTATTTTTTATAAGAACAAATCAATAGTTAAAACAATTTACATAAATCACTTATCAATAGTCACAAAGAAAATTCAGTTTTATCATGAATTCATGATAATATGATATCTATTAACATGTTGGACTCCATATCAGTATTTTCTGGAAAATTAGGCAAACAAGAATCCTACCTTCAATCTGTATATTCTTTGATGCATGGGACGGTTCCTCTGGCCTATGTGGCCTTCCAGTATCAGTTCTAGACCAACCCAAGGTATCCTCTTGCCCTGTAATATAACTTGTAGTAGAGGGATCAAATGTCTGAAAGTCGCCTTGAAACTTTCTTCTTGGAGAGTGGATTACTCCCTCCCTTTCAGTTTTTTTATTGACTTCACTTCTATGCAGCTCAGGCATGAAGCTATGAGCAGTTGCAGAATCATGTCCTGTAGTTATAACAATGGTTAAACAATTTTAGAACCCAAGTCTCAAAATTAGCTAGAGGCTAACATGTTAACAATCTTAACAAGTTAGATTTCATATTTTCATCTCGGTTTTTTGTGCTAAAGAAATATAAGGTCAAACAAGAATCTTGCCTGCCTGAGCTGCAATCGCTGTATTTGTTGATGCATCAGTTAGTTCTTCTGACCTATGTAGCCTTCCAGTATCAGTTCTAGACCAATCCAAGGTCTCGTCTTGCCCTGGAATATATTTTGTAGTAGAAGGATCAAATGTCTGAAAGTCGCCTTGAAACTTGCTTTTCGGGGATTGAATCATCTCCTCTTTTTCAGTTCTATGCAGCCCTGACATGAACCCCTGACCAGCCTTGGAATCATGTCCTATCACAGTTATCATTTATCAGAAAAATTATTGAATGGGCACAACAAACCCCAGATTTTTGAAATGTCAAAATTTTCTTATAAGCAAAATATGCAGAGAGCTATACAAAATTTAACAGCATCACACTTAAGCTCCAAAGCCAGGTTAATAATTTTCGGGGGCACAAAGACACTCGAAGTCTACCTTAGGATACCAGTTGGCAGATTAGACTATATGTTCAATTAAGCAGTGCAAGTTATGTATGACAATTATAGTGTAAAATTGTAAAAGTTGTGTTCAAATCTAAATTCATTCAATGTTTACAATTGGCTCGTGAAATAAATTAAGGCAGAGGAACACAGGCTACACAGCAATAATAAAAGTATGCACAACAAAAAATTTATCTATAAAACCACAAGAATAGAAGGCATTTGCTTAGACACTCACAATTTCACAAACATATTTAGACTCTACTACTCGTCATATGTCTAAGTGTCAGGCTCGTCTATTCTATAAAAAAAAAATCCGTTTTACAGTACAAAACAAAGTGTCAAGTATCCACCTATGACAGTGAGAATTCAGAATAACACACTGTATGAGTTTATAAACTTACCAGTGCCTGTTGGGTCAATGACCCTGACCTGATAAGTAGCCGGATGATGATCTTCCCCTACATCTTTCGGAACCTGAGGATCTTCCTCCACGCCCGTTGATCCCCCAACAACGGTTCCAAGCTTTACAGGAGGTCCCTTCTTCCCCATATCCAAATCTCCAGTACTATGACCACCACCTAAAAGCGTACCAACAGGGGTGTTCTTTGGTGCATAAGGTTGCTCATGCTCATCGTACTCGTCTAACTTTCCAGCTTCTGTCTTCGACCAACCTAAGGTGTCTTCATGTCCAGGAGTATGACTTGCCGTTGTAGGATCAAATGTGTGGTAAGAACTTTGTTTACTCCTAGCACCTTCACCTGCAGTTCCGAATTGTGGTTCGCGTGTATGCGTATGACGCCTTGCAGCTCCCTCTTGCCCTGACATGAGGTGTTGAGCAGCTGCAAGAATGCAAGATTATGCATTATGGCGTATTTTACAAGTCAAATTTACAAGAAATGTTTTTCTTGCTACATTTTTCATTCTAGTAGTATTTTCAGTATATATATCCCCTAATTACAGGTCTCTAAGAAACAGTATACTCTCTAATTAGGAAGACCCTAGCCAATTTAATTCACTACTGAATCATAGGTTTTATATTGTTGATCTTGAGATAGATTCCCTTTCAACTTTCCAAATCCAAAAAGAAAAACAGAATCTGTATAATAATTATATTTTTCAAACACAACTAGATTTAATTTTTCAGGGGTAACAAATATTTTTGGGTTTATAATTTCATTGGGGAGTTAACCAAAATTTGAGAAGACCTCTGAAAAATTAGATATTGGGCCAAGCAAATGTAGGGGAAATAGGAAGAGAGCCCAAACTAAATAATCAATCCCACAAAAAAAATATTTACCCCTTTTTACTGAGTACGGAGTATTAGTTAATACTCCGTACTTCTATTTTCATATAAAACACGTTAACAAAACTCGCAATATCACTAATACAAAAAAAAAAAAACACATCTACATATCACATATGTACACCATTCGATCCACTGAGATTGGGTTTAATGGGATAACCTTAATAGGTTGGAGAAAGTACATAATCCGTTTATTTTAGAAATGGTGCAATATTTAAACCGCGGTTGTGAATGTATTACGTGTGAAGCTAAAAAGAAACAGGGAAAAAATGACATACTGTGAGTGCCGTGGATTTCAGGGTCCATATCCATCTCATCATCCTCCTCGTCATCCTGGTCGTGATCATGATCATGACCATGTCCAACGTGCTCTTTAATGGAATCCTTTATCTTCTTCGCCTTCGCCTTTACTTTCTTCAGCACCGATTTCTTTTCACCGTGATGCTCTTCATTATGACCTACATATATATGCATCACTTCATGATCAGAGTGCTAATACTATAACGATATGTAACGCTAATTAAATAGATAATAGTTAGAATAATCCCATCTCACATCACGTACTTTAATTTGTACATACAAATATACAATATATATAGTTATTTGGTGTTACTAATAGTTAAAAGAAGATACATTCATACTAGTAACTACGTATCGATACAATAAGAATAAGGTTATATTTCGTAAAATTATGCCATATCCTTGATTACATAGACGGTAAGTAAAAATCGATGGCCAAAAAAAAAAAAAAAAAAAAAAGTAAATCTTACCAATTTGAATGCCAACATTTTGATCATGTCTATGAGGATCATCATCATACTCATAAGTGGTGGTATTATGACCTTTTGGATGATCCATTTGAGAGTTCATTGTGATCACTGCTTATTAATCACTCGCTAATAACTTGTGTGTTTATTTTGACAGTTTTTGAGTTAGAGATAATAGTCAAATTGGGAAACAATAGTGAATTTAGAGAGCAACTTAAAAAGAAGATCGACCTTAGTAATAAGGGTATGAAAAGGAAAAGTAGTAAAGAAGGAAGTTTGATTGGGTTTGTGTAATAATACGTACAGCAGAATAAGACAATGCCACATTGCATGGTGTTGGCGCTATAGCTAAGAGACACGTAAGTGTATGAACTAACACGTCCTTGCTTGGTTAATTCGGTGATTTTAGAGGCAGACTCACTTGAAAGAAAAGCTGATGCTATTGAGTTTGGCCTTTTACGTGGCGGTTACAACATGGCTATATAAGGGATGTTTATCCTACCCATGTAATCACTCAGATAGATACAAGTACTCGTATTATAATTTTATAACGACATTGAACTAATTAAGATAAGGTATGCTTTTATTTGTGATTGTGATTGTCGGTCTTAAATAATTTTTTAAAGATTACCGACTAATAACTAATAATTTGCAAAAAAAACCCTAGCCTCTCTTTCCTCTCTTCTTTCTCTAAAACCCTAGCCTCCATTGTTGAATTTTGCAGGGGCTTCCATCGGATTTGCCGGTGGAAAGCCCCAATCGTTGTTTCTTTTGTGGTTTTTCTCTTGTTTTAGGTTTATAATAATTCTTCCTCTTTTAGGAGGAATATTTCTCCCTCGAAAGACAGGGTTTTTCTTCCTCTTTAGGAGGATTTGACTCTTTCGAAAGACCGGGTTTTTCTTCTCTCTTTTGAGGGAGGAATCGCTTTTTTATTTCATGGATTGCTATAGAGTTGTTTCATGGGTAAAATTTTGTGCAGGATTGAAAAAGAGATTAATATTTCGACAACAATTGAACGAATCAGACGGAAATTTTTTGTATGGCTACAACAGATCGATAGACCCCCTCGCCGAAGAAGGCTGTAAATCACAGCGTTATGAAAGAGGGTATGAAGAACGTACGAGGGTATGAAAAACGTACGATTTGCAACAACGATCGTAGCTTTGCTTACGGAATGTTTTTATTTGATTCAATTATTATGTATTTGTTAGATCTAAATCTCTTTGTAGATGTCGTATGACTTATTTATGAATCAATTTTATTTCAAAAAAAAAACTAATAATTTGCAGGTTACAATCAAGTCGGATCATTTTCAAGTCAGGTCATATTCGGATTCAACTTATTATAAATAGATAATTATCATTTTTATCAAGCTAATTATTTCCTTTGACTATAATATACGAAGTATATGGCAATATATATACTAGGGAACTATAGTTTACAATTTAGTAAGATAATTATCTCCTTTGACCATATAACAAATATATACTATATTTAACTCTTAATTTCAGGATGATGCTCCTTTCTTTTGCTGGCCTGGACCGACTTGGTCTCCCTAGACAAAATGCTTTGATCAACAATAATAAGGTGGTATAAATTGCACTTCAGGCGATTTGAAATCGGGTCAGGAACAATTTGGGTTAAATAACTTAGGTCGAGCCAATAACAAGTCGTGTTAATTTCAAGTCGGGTTAGTAACAGATCGGGTTGAATTTTTGGGTCGCGTTAGTAATAGGTCTGATAAAATTCGGGTCGGGTCAATAACAAGTTGGGTCGTTGAATTTGGGTTAGATCAATAACAAGTTGGGCTGATTTCGGGTCGGGTTTGTAACAGATTGGGTTAAATTCGGGTCGGGTTAGGAACAGGTCAGGTTAAATTTTGGTCAGGTTAGTAACAAGTCGGGTTAAATTCGGGTTTTGACAGGTTAATTTTGGTTCAAGTCGGGTTCGGTGCAAGTTAATTAAATTGGCAGTTGTAAACCGGTAAATCGGTGCAAGTTGTAAACCGGTAAATTGGCCATTTAAAAGCAAATTGAATGGTTCCACACACCCAGTTGAACTCCCGGAGGGTATTAGGGGACCATGTAATCATTTCGAAAATTTTTATTTCCGGTGAAAAAAAGTCAAAAAATTCCAAAATTGAAGGCACGTTTTTTGAGAATTTTAGAGGTTTCAGGGCTCGGTGTCGAAAAGTCTTGAAATTCTATGGGATACATCTTGGGGTCATATAATGCCGTTTAGAACCATATATGATCATTATTTGTTGTCATAAATGTTCGTGGTAGGCTTGAATTAATGAAATCGGTGCAAGTTGTAAACTGGTAAATTTGTCGTTTAAAGGCAAATGGGATGGTTCCACCCACCCAATTGGACCCCCACCCAATTGGACCCCCAGAGGATATTAGGAACCATGGTAAACATTTCGGCTATTTTTATTTTTGGGCGAAAAAAAGATCAAAAAATTCCAAAATTGAAGGCTAATATCCACGTTTTTTGAGAATTTTTTGAGGTTTTGGGGCCCAGTTCCGAAAAGTTTTGAGATTTTAGTGGATACATCTCGGGGTCATATAATATTGTTTTAAACCATAAATAATCATTATATATTGTCATAAATGTTTGTGGTAGACTTTAGTTAATGAAATCGATGCAAGTTGTAAACCGGTAAATTTACTATTTAAAGGCAAATTGGATGGTTCCACCCACCAAATTTGGACACGCGGAGGGTATTAGGGACCATGGTAAACATTTCGCTAATTTTTATTTACAGGCGAAAAAAAAGTCAAAAAATTCCAAAATTTAAGGCTAATATCCACGCTTTTTGAGAAATTTTGGAGGTTTCGAGGCCTGATGTCTAAAATCCCTGAGATTTTTGGTGATACATCTCGGGGTCATATAATGCTGTCTGGAACCATATATGATCATTATATGTTGTCATAAATGTTTGTGGTAAGCTTAAGTTAATGAAATCGGTGCAAGTTGTAAACCGGTAAATTGGTCGTTTAAAGACAAATTGGATGGTTCCACCTAGCCAATTGGACTCCCGGAGGATATTAGAGACTATGGTAAACATTTCGGCAATTTTTATTTTCAGATGAAAAAAATTAAGAAATTTCAAAATTAAAGGCTAATATGCACGTTTTTTGAGAAATTTTAAACGTTTTGGAGTTCCGAGACACCCCAAATTGACACATAGATTACAAGCAGTCCAGCAACAGGCCATTTTGAAAGTTGGAGAAAAAAAAAAAAAAAAAGCGCGCCATTGTCATTGTCCACCACTTCACCTTGTTCTTAAATCCTGAAAATTCAAAATACTCCCACATTCATCATCTCTACTACAAACGGTTTCATTCCACTCCTCCATTACACCAAAGCAAAAGCAATCTGCAGAAAATGCGAACTCGATTTCTCACTCCAGACTACTTCACCTCCGATCAAACCCTAAAATTCCTTCGTCTTCCTCTCTCTCCTCTACCTTTTCCTCCCAAATTCCTCTCATCTTCCGATGAATTTCTTCGTTGCTGCTCCAGTTCTTCCGCCATTTCCGTCTCTCACCAGCTCCAAAACCTTCCGATCGACGGTGCTCTCTCAAAATTCTACTCCGATGTTCTTCCTCACACCATCGACGCTTGTAATGGTGATTTTTCGTTCAATTCCGGTAGTAGTTATGGCGTTGTTCAAACTCCGGAGGTAATATATGAATTTCTATCCATTTTTTCACTTTTTCTCGTCAATTTTGTGTTCGCTTGTTTTTTTTTTGAAATATTACAGTTGAATTTTAGGGTTTCAATGTGTTATGTCGAGTTTTGTTTATCTCGAACTGTTTCTGGAGCTTAAAACGGAGGACAGATGTGAGATTGTACGTTTTGATTTAATTTTGGAGGTTGTTTTAATTTTCTGGAAGTTTCGGGCTCTGGTTGATGAGTTTTAGGGTTTCTGACGAATTTTGATGTTATGTTGGATTTTAAGCTATTTTCGGTAGCAATGATGAATTTGTGCTTCAATAATCTCTCTTATTTGATTAGAAGTAGGATTTATTTACTCAGCAGATGATCTCGTCTCAATTAGCCTTTCTAATGATCATTTAAGAGAATTATGAAGTTTTTGGCACTGAGAGCTTTGTGTTTGGAGAAAACATGATCATTGTAAGGTTACAACTTACAACATATAAATGAAAAGATTTACCATCTTTAAAGAGCTCTATAATATGTGTGCGATTTCTGTGGTGCAATGTTTAAATTCTGTCCTATTATTTCGAAATCAGGCGTTTTCTTCCTGTTTAATGGAATCTAAGAAACTACTATGAATGATTTCCTATAATGGCAATGTGTATCATAAAAGTGAAGGGTGATCGAGTCACTATCTCCTTTGATTAATCATGTTTAGATATTTCTAACTCGTAAGTTTGATGCATGCTGTCTTAAAGTGCCAGGACTGCCAGCTGGTAAGTAATGGTCTACAATACTGGTTCTTGAAATTTTTGTGAGTTGTGATGCTAGACTGTTTGTTAGTCATGCTCGTATCTGGCCCTAGTTTAAGCATGATGCCTGCTAAATATGTGGGACATCAAAATTGTAGTTTAAGCATGATGCCTGCTAAACATACAATTCATGTTCAAGAGGCAAAATGAAATGATATTCACGCACTCATCGTACCTTCTGTTGCAGAAAGAAGCTGGCTTATATTATGAAGAAATGGAAGCTCACAGATGTTCAGCTTCTGATTCCGTAACACTAGAGAATCAATATGCGAAGGACACTGTTGGTGAAAAGAATTATAATAAGGCTGAGATTATTCAGTTTGAAGCACCAGAACTTACTCAATTTATGGTAAATAAACCTATCTTTTGCATTTGATGAAGAAAAATAGTTTGTAAGCCCTCTTAGTTTATTAACTAATGGGGTTTGTGTTTATAATATTTTCAGGAGGATGTTTGCATGTCCGAGAAAGAAGTTCAGTTATTGTCTGAAGTGCAAGATTGTGATGTTGATTTGGTAAATGGAATAACATAGCATACTAATTTCTGCTTACACCTGCTCTGTTGAATGTGTATTGAATAGATTTTGTTCTCTGAGATGATCTGTATATGCAGATGAATGCATAACTACTGAATGGTTTTCCTACTCATGTAACACTTTTAAGCTTTGTGTTACTGAAAAAAATTATATTGTTTCTGATTCAATCAAGGTCTTTGTCATTGACAAGTAGAAATCCTCCGATTGCTTTGAACAAAATTTGTTTAAAAGTTTGACCTGACGTCCTGTTTCTCACTTAAGTTAGGTTTAAAGATAGAGAACTGCAAGAGTCTTTTATGGTAATTGCTAAGTAGCTCAAGGAGTTTTAGTTTTGGATTAGATGATGCAACTCAGCCAGTAGGATGCTGGAATATTGTTTTCCCTTTTAGAAATCAGTGAGCTGCTTAAAATACCATAGGCAATTAAGATGCAATGTCAAGCCATGCATGTGGGAGCTGTTGCTGTTTCTTTCCTTATTAAACGTTGTCTATAAAGAACGCACAATGACCAGGGCATGTTGACTCAAAACTTGGGAATTGGGCTGTAATTAGTTGATGTAAAGTTTAGTCCTCAACTAGATCCTTTATTGCTGATGTGTTGTTCCTTCTGCTATCTGATTCATACCATAGCATAGAGATTTTTCTGATTTCAAATCTTTGTGATAAAGTAGTTTATGGTACTAGCAAATTAGGTTTGAATCTTTATATTTTATATTTTGATTAATGCATGCAGGGATTGCTAAATCTTGTGCCCACAGATCCATTTGGTTTTGATGTTAAAGATCCCATGAAGTCAGTAGATTCTGTTTGTCTGGAATATGATATGACTCCAAAGCTTCAGGTACCAGATGACGTTGGCATTTTACCAGACAATATCGATCGCTGTGGCACCTCCTTACCCTTGCTTGAAGTAGAAGAGATTGGACCTGTCGATATTTCAAACTTTTGCTTGGAATCTCTCTTTGCAACCATTGAAGAACAGCATTCTGCTTGTAGTATTGACCTTGAACATAGTTGCCAAGAACTGTTTGTCTCAGTGGAAATTGACATTTTGGAGCATATTTCTGATAATCACTCATCAAAGCCCCCCCTTGAAATTTGTTTTACAAGCCTGAGTCTAGATATTGATCTTCTACAAGTTGTCGAAACTCCTTACAGAGAGGAAGACACTGGGTCGATGGATGGGCCTATTGCTTTTGTCGATACATTTTTATTTGAAGAATTTAAGATGCTTGATTCAGATTCCTTAGAAATTTTTGAGGTGAATGCTGTATGTCAAACAACTGAAGCAGCTAAATTGTGCAATATGTTCCCAGAAGACTTGCCCTTCAGAAGTTTTGATGAACTAATTGTCAATGGTGAACTAGCAATTATTGATGGCACTTTCACATCACTCTCTGTCCCAGATCTGGTTGATGATGAAAATATTTGGTCATTACATGTTATTTTTGATAAATTGCTCGCAGAATTGGAACCAGTGCCCCTCTCCACATCAGATGAAATTTATTTGGATTGGCACCTTCTTGGAAGGGACGAATGCAATGGAGATGTAAATGCTGCTATTGAGAAGCTGTTCAGTGACATTGATGATTATACAATGGATTTATGTTTGAAATCTGATGATGGTAACATGGTAGTGCTTGATTTCGTTTTATCAAATGGTCCTTCAGATGGATTGAATATTAGGGAGAACAAGGTAATAATGCCATCTGGAGTGAGCTGCACAGAAAAACATCTAATCAATGAAGTCGTTTCAAGGAAGTCACCAGGTGAAGACTGCCAAATCATAGAAAATATTGGGAATCTTACTAATGCTGATTTTGAGAATTTTACATCCAGCAAGTTGTCTGATGATGATTGTCAAATCATAGAAAATATTGGAATTTGTGGTGGTGATTTGCATAACGTAGATTCATCTGTCGAGTCAATGCCTCAGTTTAATGATCTGGATTTTTTTTTAAATCCTACAAGTTCTACTGGTGGTATGAGAATTGGTAACAAAGTCAAGCCATTAGATGCAAAATCTCTGCTTTCTGCTAGGGGTCAGAAGAAAGAAACAGCCAGTGCAAGCAGCATTCATATGCAGCAGTTTGATGCCTGTGAAGGTGTCATTGCCACTTCAAGTGACAGAGATACAGCTGTGAGTCTGACCATATATGATCACTTAAGTGATTTTGTTTCCTTTGGTGGAAGTCCAATTCAGTTTTTTATTTCAATAGTTTCTGCTGTTCAGATAAGTGCATTGCTCTTCATGCTATTACGTAGGTTGTTTTATGCATGAAGATACCCATTTCTATTCTGTGCTTAGGTAACAGGATATCGTTTTTTATTTTATTTTAATGTCTGAAAGCTGAGAACTGTGTGTATGGTAATCTTGCAATTTGCAAGAGTAGATGCTGCAGGCCTGCAGCAATTCTTAAATAACCAGCTGGCGATTTTTTATTATTGAAGTAAGGTCTGGATGCTTTAGGTTAGCAAATTTAGATGGTTTTTTTTTAGTCTTTGATGAGACCTTTAGCAAGTTGGCTGTGTTATACTTCATTGATTTTCCTTGTTCTCTCTTTGTGGTTAATTTTATGTGTTACTCCTTTTTTCACTCCATTATTACTTTTATTGACTTGTATGGAATTATTCCTAAGTCCGGCTTGGGTTAAAGGCCTTAAGGCTAAGGGTTGAAGATTCACATTGAATAAGAGAGAGTTATTAAGAGACCCATCCAACAAACCTACATTTAGCCAAATCCAATACATTGGCCACCTTTTATTCTCCATAGCAATGCAATTATGCAAGTGAGGCCTTATATATCTGACCCCTTAAAACCATATAGTTCTTTTGGAAAGTAACTCTAATACCACTTGAGCTCTCAGCTCTTTGGGATATAAGTGAATCTCAGGGTGGAAATCAGATAATGTATTCTTTATTTGAGTGTGAATCAGATTAATTCTGTAAGATTTATTGGATGGGAAATAATGTTTTTACTAACCCTCTTAAAAAATGACTTCAAGTTATTATTTTTGTATATCTCGGCTGGCTGTGTTCTTATTTCTTAAGTTTATGTTAATGCTTGATAGTTCCCTCTTATTGAGCTGACTGTTTTTAATTGTTACTCTAAACCACCAGAAGTTGGAAGCGCTACTGAACTATGGGCCTGTCCAGGAAAAATGCAATAAAGTATCTTCCGGGGCTTTAAATGGTACAAATACGTCCAAATTCCCTATACCTGTTTGTAGCACAGCTCAGGAATCTGAACCAGCTCATCTCTGTGAATCTTCCCACGAAATGCCTATCATTATTAACACTCAAGATTTTGATAAAGATATGATAATCTCTCGGAGAAGCACATATCAGAAGATCTTAACTATGGAGAAGAAAGGTGTACAAGTTGTAGAGAGGGATCTTATTCTACCTGTTGATATAATAATTAATTCTACAGCGTGCATAGTGTGGTATGACTACAAGAATATTGGAAAGAAAACCACTGCTCAAGATGAGGGTGCTTCATGCGTTCCTCTCTGCATTGAGAATATAGCTGCAAATGTTCTGACATCTCTGAGTTTTGCATTCACTAACTGTGTTTTGGTAATTGACTTCATCTATGCTTAATGTATCCAGGTGCTTTTTCTTAAACTAGAGTTATCATTGTAGAAGTTTGGGGGAAAGATCATGATATGATTTTTCAAGAGCATGTTGAATTAACTTGTTTTCATTGTGTAGTATTCTAGGCATTTGTTTAATTATTTATGTCTTGTAGCATGAAGCAATCCCTGGACACACTCAAAGGTTTTGTTTTTCTTATAAACTTAATTACTTTCTCTTCGATCTGCCTCACTTGTGCTCTGACCTCTGCTTTCATATACAGGTTTTTGTGTGTTATGTGCTGTTGAATCTCTATAGTCTAGACATTTTGTTTCAATGGATTAAATTATTGTTATGCTCTTCATGTTGACTTGCTTGGTTTATTTGCAGTTCATCCATATTTGCACTCTTTTTTTTGGGGGGGGCTTGACTTGCTAAGTATTGCAGATTTGTATAAATTTCCTTTCTCACTGTGTTCTTTTTCCCCCCCTTAATTAAGATTTTCGAGGGAGATTGCAATTTCCTTGGCCCTGTAATGGAGTCCGCAGATGAATTGTATGCAGCGGCAGCCAGTCTTGGCACATATTTGCAGATTTTCTATTCATCATCATTTGAGCTGACAGATGAAACTATATTGAATTATATCAGACATTCCCGGAATATATATAAAGGGTTACTTTCTAGACTTCCGGATTCAGAGACACTTGCTGAATCATTTTTCACCAAGTTCCCTTCTATCAATCCACTCTCAGCACATGCAATTATTTCTAGTGGATGCATTCTCTTGGAGTTCCTTGAGTTGACAGTTGAAGGGAGGATCCAAATACTCAGAAAAAATCATGTGCCAGAGGAAAGTGTCTATCTTTTTAGTTTCTTGTGCAAATTCGGGGAGCGGGAGGAATCCAAATCTGGACTAACTGACTGTTCATCCTCTGTATCATCTCCTCCTGATTCAGGAAAATTTGTCTGCAACATCAACTCGGATGACAGAAAAAGGAAATTTAATGCAAGCTCTTGTGATGCTATGTATGACTTCAGATGTTCTATGCCATCTAAACACTATGCAGGTGATGAAATGACTGATCAGGATTTGTTAAGGCCATCTGATCCAAAGGTGTCACAAAGTCCCAGAATATGTCTGCAGAAGAAAATGCCCAATTTCTTGTTGGATAGTGAACTGTTTCATGAAGGAGAAGCACCTGATGCTGCCACAAACATGGATCCTTCTAAAGCATGGTGTGAAACATATATCACCGAGGAACCAAAAATTCACCGTAAGGATGATGGTTTTGCTCGATATAGCTTAATTGTAAATGAAGGATTCTCCAGTCAACAGAAATCAAGTAGGATAAAAAGCAAACGAGAACAGAGTGCAAGGGACATACTTCAGGATTTGCATGAAGATTTTGTTGGTGAAGTTGTTAACATTTATGACAAATCTTTATTTGGTGGGGACTTTCAAATAGATGAGAAAACTGTAAAGTCCTCTCCAATGGCCTCTGAGATTGTAAAAGACCATGCTCCTAGATATAATAGGACAGCTCGAAGATTATCATTTGGTAACAGTCCTGACCGGAATGTATCAGTAGCTGATGTGATGGATACTAGGTGTATCTTAGAAGATAGTAGACAGTTGAGGAACATTAATAGTTTTAATGGTGTAGAATATAACTGGAGCAATGACTTATGCAAAGCTTCACAGAAGCAGCAGGAGACAGCTAGAATTATACAGGAAAAATCTATGCAAAATTTTAGTGGCCAACTCTCAGAGGGGAAAACTGTACCTCCCTATGGTGAAACACCACTCTCGAAAGCTATTCATTCAGGAAAATTGCAACAAGGGTCACCTTGGACAATAGAGTTTCTCAACCGTGTTAAGGAAAAGAGAAAATTACGTCAACAGTATCAGCCAAATGCTTCTGTTCCACGCACTAACTATCATGGGGATATTACTAAATCCACCAAGAGAAGAAGCCCGTCCATTCTTGAGTATTACAAATATCAAGGTGACAGCATGCCTAGGAAGATGGCAGAGCAGAAAATGCAAAAGCAACATGCTCAGCTGCGCAATGAGAGGTCTCAAGGATTTCGTCCAATTTGTACACCAATTGACAAGAAAGCTAGACGGGTTGGTTCTCATAATCATGGCTTTGTTTTAATATGTGTTTAATTTTAATCTTCTCAACATATAAATTTATGAACTGCAGAGTTTATCTTTTGCAACAAGTGGAACTGGGAGCCAAACTAAGCTTGTTTGGAGTGACAATCTCTCTTTCAGTCAGGACAGCAGGTTTTCAAGCTGAGTATAATATAGCTGGAGAGTTGCTGATTATGGCAATGATTTTAGGTAACAACATTTTATAATCATAAGCAAAAAATCACAGGTTGGTTTTAATTTTTTTTTCTTTTTTTATTAAATTAGAGTTACAGAAAGTAATCATTGAGCAGATTAGTTATTGTATGTGGATAGCTCTATCTTAAACTTGTACTAACCACCATTGATTGCAAGAATTCTTCGTGCATGTCAGGATATATGTTATACTTTGTGTTTTCATTTGTAAGTTGTTATATCCCATATTATCTGCTTACAATGGTTCAGGTTTTCAACACTGCAGCTGAATGTTTGACAAAGAGACAATTTATTGTCAGTCAATCAGTTTTTGAATTATCTACTTTAGATAGGTAGAATAGGAGTCTTGGTGGCATACATATATGTTATTTTTGTGTTACTAACAACATCCATGCAGTGTTACCTTAATTTATGTTTACAACGACATGCATTGATGCCTTTTACAATTGAATTTGTGCCTGACTTTAATTCTCGGAAACCATTAGGCAACATGTTTTTTTTTTTTTTTTGGTTTCAGGTGTACTTATAGAAGAAATTCTGATGTTATGTACAGTAGTTACAAGCACAGATTAACTACCATTAAATAATGGTGAAAGTTCAGTAGCACCTTTAAAAATCTGCTCTAGCTTTTTTCTAAATAACATTTCTCATATCAACTCTAAATCTTATGCTTGCAAAATATTTGATAATCTTTGAATTAAAAGATTGAAGATAGCCATGAATTCCACCTTCTCAAGGTGTGGTAGAAAAGGATGGAACATCAGAAGTATATCAGTCATCAGAGATTTGGCCTTTCCAAGAAGCTTAATCACCATTTAATATAATAGAAAAATATTAAATTTTACATTTGACTAAAGAATTTTAATAATGAATGTGGTCTTGCTTCTTGGTGCACAATCTGGATCATCATATCTATCAATTGTTTCTCTTCATTTTCTAACCTACATTCTGTCGGGTATAATAATTTATTTCTTTTGACTTTTCCTTAAGTTGCGTATGGTCATTACAAGCTGTTGCCTTTCACCTTCAACCTCTGCAAACTTTAGGCTCACTTCTGAATACTTATCTTGCATTTCTCTGAGGTCATCTTCCATTGTTTTGTTCTTCTCCTTCAGTAATGTAACTTCTGTCAGTAGATCACTGGTTTCAGAATCTGTGTCTTTTTTCTCCGAGCTTGTTTCTCTTCTGCATTTGGAACGATAATTTTCTAGCTTAAGCAAAAAGTCTATATCACTCAAAAAGTATAACAAAGGGAGTGCGAAGAAGAGTTTGTTTACTACACCTTTCTCCTAATGCTCTGCTGGCCCCGTTTTGCAATGACCTGCCTGGAGTTACTGACTGCTGTGCTTTTTTCCCCATTTGTTTTCTTTCATCCACCCTGCTACCACTGTCAGCAGATATTCCAGAGGGTCTGACTGCCTGTGGATTGACAAAGTGTAATTTTTAAGCTCACATTCAAGAGTATGTATGAGTGATACTCTGTCCCACTTAAGAAGTCCGAAATTGGTTTTGTAAGCATGTTAAGGCAACGACAAATAAGTTAACTAGTGAAATGACTTTCTGTTGTGAGGATGACTTTTCAAATTGAGGGGGTGCATTGAAACTCTTAATGTGGGACAAATAACGTACAACTCATTCTCTTTGGAAATCCTTAGAAACAACAAACATGTAAACTGGGTCTCATCATCTCATGGGGTTACAATAATTGACGCTTCTAGTGTACTTACGAAGAATTTCTCTAAGTGAATGTAACATTGCAATTATGATTAAGCTAACAACAGGTAGAGATTTGTCTTCATATCATAGCAACTTGATACTGAAGATGTCATTCTGATGAGGCATGGGTGTGGGATAGAGCTGAATTAGTGGATTGAGTTTCGGATTCAATGGGGCCAATGAAGTGGTATTGAGACTGGAGACCCATGGTATCATGCCTTACTCTAGGTGCGCTTTCTATAAGTTATGATCCATAGGGGATTTCAAAGGGTAAAATCATTTGTATCTGAGCATGTCTGTCCATTTTTAAGAATTCTGAGTGTCATCTAGCGGTAAGTTTTAGTTTTGAAAAATGCAATAAATCTATGATATGGGTAAAAACAGAAATATTTTCACTACTAATAAAAATTTGTGTAAATATCCCCCCTTCCCCCCTAATACCTATTTGTGGACAGGAACCACGTGCCACGAAATCATTTGTTAATACATGGGATTCAACTCCTTGCACATATCTTACATTTTAGATTTGGTGCAATTTGATATTTGCTTTTGAGCTAGCTCATTTCAAGGAGATGTTTCAGGGTGATTGAACCAGGGAAAGGGTTTTCACATCTCCTTTCTTGCCTTTATGTGAAGGAGAAAGTTGAAATTGAGCTACAGAATATCTTTGTACCATTTTTTGCTCTCCCTTTTTTACATACTTTCACTAATGGACTATTATGGAATGCCTTGAAATGGATATGGCTTCAAGCAATGTTATTTCTAGCAAGAAGATGTTTTTTTTTTCTTTCTCTGTATTATAAGACACATAATGCTAATTCTGCAGGAATTATGGTTTAGCTCTTTAATTAGGGAGCCATTTTTTTTTTTTTTTTTTTTTTCTGAAACTGAATTAAAGTATCAGTATCAACATGCACTATTATTAACTCAGCATATAAGAGTATTATTGTTAAGGCAGAAAGGGTGTGGGGGTAGGGTTTAAGATGTAGGCACAGCCTTACTTTTCTTATGGTATATGACCCTATTTTAATGCCATTGATAAGATTTCATGATATTGCTGTGAACTATGCAATGTATGGTCACAACACACTTCTATATGTTGATTAGGCCTATTAAAAGTAAGAAATATTACCTTGAGCTGCTTTACTTTCTCTTTAAGTGCAGATACTTCTTTGGAGCTGCTGTCCTTCAACTTCTCTAGATTGGCTATCTCATGGTCCTTCTTTTGTAGATTTTCCCTCTGCCTGGTGAGTTGCTTTCTGAGATTCTCATTCTCCAACTTCATTTCAGACAATTGGTTTTTCAAGTCATTGTGCTGAACTTGGAGTTTTTCTAATTCTGCTTGCACTTCATCCATAGCACCACTTTCCTTTTCTTTTAAGGAATTTAGGATTTTCATTTCCTCTTCTGCTCTTTTAATTTCTGTCATTGCCAAGGTATATTTAGTCTCTAGCTCTTCCCTATCTCTCTTTGTTTCCTGAAGAGACTTCTTTGTCTCATCCACCAGTGTTGTTGTTTCTTCTAACTTCTTTGTCGAGTAATAATTTTCTTCTGTAAGCCTCTCTACTTCCATTCTGAGTGCTTGATTCTCCTTTGACAAGGCTTCATATCTGTCTTCTACTTTCTTTTTGATACTGTTAAGCTCCACAGTCTCACTTTTGTGTGCAAGTAGTAGTTGCTCTTGTTCGTTCTCTTTCTCTTTCAACTGTCTTGAAAGCGTTTCCACCTCAGTTTTACATTGATTTTGGACTAGCTCAAGCTCCTTGGTGGCTTTCTCGAGATGTTCTTCAAGAGTGTTAATATGAATGTGTAGTTCCCTGGCCTCAGCTTCTGCTGTTGCAGTCAACTCTTCATTTTCCTTAAACTTTTTTTCTAATTCTTCAGAAAGTTCTCGGAACTCCTCTTGTATCCTCTGGGCTGTAGTAACATTTTCTAGTTTTGTTCTTCTCAAGGTGTTCTCTGCTTGCAGAACTCTTTGCTCGAGCTCAGCATTGGCATCGTTCACTGCTTTGAGCTCATCTTCAAATTCTGCCTCCTGTCTTTCCAATTCATACTTCAAATTGTTTACTTGGGTTTCAAGGTCAAGCATTGTATCTGAAGATCCACAGAATTCTTCTGCTTGCTTTTTGATCACCTTCTCCAACCTTGCTATATGAGATTCAAGTTCTTCCACATTTTGCGTATTTTGTGTGCACTCTCTTTCTTTCTTAATCAATTCTAGCTGCTTTTGGTTAAACTTTGAAGAGAGATCATCATTTTCCTTCTTTGCAATCTCACAATCTAGAGAAACCTTTTTAATATGCTCCTGAAGCTTTCTGTTCTCTTTCATATTGTCCTCCAATTCACTTTGCAGGTTTGTAATCTGTTGTTGCAACTGATTTATTTCTCTAGAATCTCTGTTTGGACTTTGTGCTTCTTCTATTTGTTTGTCACCAAACAGCTCATATTCAGAATCTGTATTTTCAAATTCTTCTGGCCTCTTTTCACTTGTCATTTTTCTGGTAAGATTGGCTAGTTCCTTCTCTTTCTTACCTAGCTTTTCTTCAAGGTCCCTCACCACAAGAATTAATTCCGAATTTGAATCTTGTGTTTTCCTCAGCTGTGAACGAATGGCCCTGTTTAAATCCTTTACATGGCCTTCTTCACCTTCATTGTGGCGATGCCTCGACTGCTTACCCTGAGCTCCCATTTCCTTTGGATGTTCAGTGCCATTTTCTCCATTTTTCTTTGACCTGATTTTTTCAGATTCCCTTCTAAGTGCATCTCTTTCCTCTCTTAGCCTAACCACTTGCCCTGTTAATTCCTGTGCTCTTTTTGTTTCCTTCACAGTTTGCCTCCTTAATGAAAGCAGCTCAATGTCAGTTATCTCTGCCTGTCTCTTCAAAGCTAAATTCTCTCTATTGAGCTGTTCAATGAGACTTTTGGGAGGTTCTTGCTCTCTTTCTCTCAGACCATTATCACTAGTGTCCACATAGTTGATTATATCATCATCGTCATCAGTTGAACTCCAATCTAGCGTTAGGGGCTTTCTTGTTTGTTGTTCCTTGTCTGCAGGACTGGGGACTTTTGATACAGGTCTCGTTTCGTGATGTGATTGGTCACTGACATTCTCCTGCTGGGTTCTACTTTCTTTCTGTTCAAACAGAGCATTCAAGGTGTTTTCATTCCTTGTATCTTTTCTTCCTTCATTGTCTAGAGAATCCATTTTGTTGAAGTACTCCTGCCACAAAAAAGGAGGTATTTCACTTTATAAAAACAACCAACGGACTTGAAAGTTTGGTCTGAAAATGTCTTTCATGCACTATATTTCAAATTGTAAGTCTAGACATCTTATGACAAATAAACAAGGTTAATGGTGTAGATGGGATTTGATCCCCAGATTTTGGGCATCATCCCAAAAACTTTCACCAACTAAGCTAGTTGACATCTAAATAATTTTAAATTGAGTAGTTGGAATGAAAATTTACTTCATGGGTATTATTAGTTATGTTCCCTTCTGGTTGAGAGTAGCTGTCTCGACTTTGCAAGCTGTCTTCATGTGCAATTGATGCTCCATTTTCTTCAATATCCCTTTGAAGCTCTCTGAAAACAAAGTTATGTTACTCAAATACATTGTCATTTTTATCAAATTTTTGGGATGACAGAAGACTGAGAGCAAAAAATTTATATCATTATGCCTTTGACAGTACCTTTCATCATCAGCTCCTTGCATGTTTTGAATTGTAACCTGTACAAAATTAACTACTGATCAGAAAAATACTGAATTAGCTATATGATTAGTTGATTACTATCTTAGAATAACTACTGATCATAAAAATGATATTGCGTTATAGTGCTATACTGCTATATTACTAGAGAGTGAAGAGACTATCTGAAATTCTGAAGGGTGGCTGATTTGTCATATCTACTAAATATGTATCAATGGAAAGTAAGAATCCTAATTTTCTTGTCTAAAGTTTAAACTCTAAACCTATCGTACTTGTTGCTTTATTTCGTTCCTAACCTTTCTTCTCCTAGATAGGAAATCACACTTGGAACTTCCACATTAGAGTAAAATAGATATCAAGTAGCTAACCCTTAGATCTACAATCATACCAAGACTTCTTAGGTAGGGTGAGTTAACTGTGTTATGAAAGAGAGCAACAGCATTTCCACTCTTCCTCTTTTTTTGTTATTAAATTTGGGTAAGGAGAAGACATTTGACCGTGTCTGTTACAAATAAGCTGAATGAACCAAAGAGATGTAGAGAGCTCACCAGCAGAAATGCTCCAGCGTTTGAGGACTTAATTGGCAGGGAAATTGTGGATGGTGCAGTTGCCTCAACATAGTCTGCAAGGTTTACAAAAACTTCTCCCAAGAAGCCCGATTTTGATGATCCCTGGCAGCGTACAACACAAGAAGCAATGAATAAGATTGCAGAAAAAGGCCACATATGATGAGAATGAGACCAACATTGGCTGTTTTCTTACAGTTGAAATTATAAACTGGTAAATTTTGTCATGAATTTTTCCTGTTTTTGTCTCCCTTGTTAATTTCACTGTTTCATACACTGGATTTTCCCATATGCAGATCCCATCTTGGACCGCTGCTTTTCCCAATCTAACTGTTGGTTGGCCGACATCCACCGGAACCACAGATATCATCAGCTTCAATTTGGAACATGGCACCTGAGAATTCAGAATGCATAACAATCAATATACCTGGTAAGACACATCTTTACGAACCTTTCATATATGATCACATATTTAAATCATCTGTTATTTGCATATGTGAAATCAAGTAATTTTGAAATTGATAATGCACTAGAAAAATCAAAGTACAATTCATTTTATGATTGAAAGGAAGAAATAGTGTGGTAGACTAGATTTTTATTTTTTTTTTCTTTCTTTGACTTCTCATGATGTTCTTCATGATGGAGTTAGATTGATACCTGAGCTGCTTGGAACTGTAATTTGAATACAGCTTTGATCTTTTCATTCCTCCATCTTCCCACCTTGAACATCTTGGACTTTTAGACGACTCGTTTCGAAACTCACTTGACGATCCTGAAACGTCAAATTCGCAATTGATCTTTCCCCTTCCGATTAGTATAATCGTACATTGGTAGTAAAGCTCTGGTTTGCAGAGATATAAGGGACAGGGTACAAGAGAATACGAGTAAAGGGACCTTATTGTCAGTGAACTTCCTTCTTAAGCTCTAGTTTCCTGGTAAGAAAATTTCTGGTGTAGTTAACTACACAAGTACTCGTAGTATAACAATTTAGAAATTAGTTATCAGGAATTGAATTAATTTCTGGTGTCTCTCTGTTTTTTCCTTTGATTTCAGAAAGGTGATCTGGCCCATTCACTTTCGATTTTTTTTTTTATTTTCTACCCTTTTCAGTACACGTGGGCCCAGAATCTTCAGAGATTATATTTTTTTAAAATTTTAATTATCCTTATTAGAGTGCTTGAGGTAAAGCATCCAAAAGGTTAGGTGAATGGAAAGAATACCAGTTTACCACCAGGACAAGAAAGAATAGGCAAGGAAAGAAACTTCTCTATCATTCTCTGATTAAAGTTTAATATTGGCTGTGAGAGCAGCAGCTGGAAATCATGTGAGTTCCGATGTTTGTTTTAAGTGGGCACGTGGGGAAGGACTTAGGAGCCTTCATTTTTTTTTTTTTTTTTTTTTTTTTGGCTGTGATAATTAAATGCTAAGGAGCCTTCTCAGTTACATTTGGTTATTATAAAAATATGAAGTATTTTGAAGTTTATATCTCATAAATCCTTAGAAAACAATGATTTATATGGGCTTATTATTATACAGATAGTCTGTCTAGTCAGTGTCCACATTTGCCTGCGGTTAGCATTTAATTATCACAAACCTTCTTTGCTGTTCTTGGAGTACATTAAAAGATCATTTTAATGTAACAATCAGATAGCAGTACTTTGAAATCTAGGATTTAACCTATCCTCTTTTCTTTGAGACGTTTGGGAGGTGAAAGAGGGGGCGTACATTGGTGATTGGATGGTATTGGATTAAGATTTAAGAGTTTCATGTGAAGACAGTAATGATACTGATGGAAGGATCTGTTTATGCTAGATGGTGCCACCTTTGCTGTATAATGTGAAATAGATAAGCTCCCAAATCGTTGACGGAACTTTGATGTCTGAAATATAGGGATATATTACGCCTGCAAATTGACTTTACACAATTTAAGTCTAAAGTTGGCACTTTGTGGGGGTGGTAGCACATGGAATCATGTCTGTCACACACTAGTGCCAGATCATTTTTCTATTTTCAAGTCCTCTTCTAGTCTACATTTTCCTCTTTGAAACAAAGGATAAGGTTAGAATTAAAGAAGAAAAGTCATTTAATTTCGTTGTCAATCTTTTTTCTTAGGATTTTAATCTTCTTTTTTGGATAAATTTTGGGTAGTCATTTAGTGTTTCTATAGATCTTTTCTTTCTAGTTTCCTAGTGACAAAATGAATTTGTACTTTAGTTAAATCTAGAGTTTATCTTGTCTATTCTTATAGAAAATCTTTTTTATCTTTTATCTATGTTAGTTAAATTTTAAAGCACCAATTTTATCAAGAGTATTGAAGTTTTTGAGGTGGAAATCTTTTTGGAGTTCGAACTTGAAATTATTTATATGTGCAAAATTTGGTCATTGTGATCCTAATTCTACTTCTTGATAGTTTAGGTTATGGTCTTGCGAGAAGACGTACCTTACTTTTTAAAAAAAAATGATTTATAATTGTTTTTTTAATATTGCGTAGTGTGTTTCATACTTTCATATTTGTGTGATAATTTCTTAATTAAGATTCTTTTAGATAGTAAGGTCGGATGGTGAAGTTTAACTTGCTTAATCTCTAAAAAGTGACACTTCATTTTATTTGGAGATTTTCCTAAGTATAGCGTAGAGTATTATCCAAGGATAAAAAGAGTAGATTTTCCTACTACTGATTTGAGTGGTTAGGGAAGTACTCAGGCACATTTAATTCTTTTGCAGCAATAAATGCTAGAGCATGGATTAACCGAAGTTAAAAAGTTAGATTATGTCGGTAAAAATCTTCTTTCCGTGTGCAGCGGCAGACAGTAATGCCTTTTACAAATTAGGAGTACATTAGTCAACTTAATTATAATGCCATGTACAAGTAATAATCATTGACCTCTTTTAGGCTATTGTAATTAAGGAGTTAACTAATCCTGCACTACATGTCTAATGTAAAGCTTAATCAAGTGGTTTATAATTTGTATTTCCCAATAAAGCTTTTGTCATTTCATTGAACTATGATGAGATAGATGTATAATATAGGCTATATGATTGGAGATACAAAAGTTTCTAGTTTTTCATACACTAGTTTAGCCTTCATTAGTTAGCGGAAAAACATATCTTTGTCCATTATTGCCCCATTTGCATAGTTGCATTATCTTGCATTCATGAGTCATTTAAGTAAACAAGCCACTCTTTTTTCTACTGTAACTTTTTGTTCGTCCCCACTTATTAGATGGTGTTTGGTGTTGAATATTACGGAGTAGATAGTTTCATCTGACAGCTTGTTGGGGACGCAGCTATAATAAAGTATAAATTATGTTATTGGGACAGTTATGGAACATGTTTACAACTTTCAAGGTCATGCATTTTTTTAATTTAATTGGTAATGAAGTCAAGAATTCCCTTCTATGCTGAGAAAATAACTGACACTCACTTGATATAGTAGGACACTCGCTCTCGCAAAGAGGGGAAAGAGGCCCGAATGAGTCATCTAGGTATTATTGATTAAAAGCGAGGGATGAAAATTTCGAGGTAATAGAACTCAATGTAAGTATTTTGAATGCTGAAGCTAGTATCCTCTATATTTAATAATGCATTATGCTAAACATACATGATTCATATGACAAGATGTGGGTTTTGAATGAGTTGGGCCTTTTTCTAGCCCTTGTTGCACATGATTTAGTGTTGTTGATTTGCAATTGTAAAGCAAAAGAGGGTGTGAGGGAATGAGAGAAGTTAGAGAACATGGACAGGAATTGAGTGGGCTAGGAATTAAACTTGTAACAATTAAAACAACAATGATTATTAAAAATAAAATAAAATAAAATAAAAATTTAGAAGAGGAGATAGATCCTTTTTTCTAATCAACATCCCAAATTTCATGTAATCACTATTAGTGTCTCCAAATAGAACAGTCTCATAAGTTTGAAGGATTTTTTAATTTGGCACTTTTGTTAGTAGACTTCAAGATGTGTATGCTTGCTGTTTGCACCTTTGAGTAGGCATCAAGATATGCTTTTATCAGCTTTAGGCTTCGCTGGAAAAGTTAAAGGCAAGGATAAGAGATGGGTCGGTGTAGCCTCATCAATTGGGCCCATCTGTATAAAGCCTTTTACTGGACTTACTGGGACAATTTAGTGGGCTAAGTTGAGTAATTCTTTCGGTCCATGGCTAACTGGTATCCACACATACCAGTCCAAAGTCCAAAGCCTGTAAGTGTAAACTATAGAGATATACTGCTGCTCAATTTGGTTGAATGTATGCATATTAGGAATGGAATGGATTGCTCTACTTTGATGAACATAAAATTGATAGAATTGTCATTTTGCATTGTTTTATGAATGACTCTTGCTTTGTCTATATAAATTTGGGAGCATAAAATGTGTGTTTCTTTTTTTATATAGGGTTAAGCCTGTATTTTTATTGTGCTTTGGAAGTTTGTTACATTATGTTCTGTGAGACTGTGACTTGTGTCCATTTATATGTTGAAAGAGCATCTTTGGTGAACTCATGAACTTGTAGTATTGTAGCAAGTGTTAGAAGCATGTTTTGGCTCTTTTTTTTTTTTTTTTTTTTGAAAGGGATGTTTTGGCTCTTTGATTACAAATCAAGAGCATCTACATATCTCCAAAACAGAGGATAAATTACAAGCAGATTATTTTTCAACTTGAATTCAAGTGATTGTGGCAGGCACATACATTAAAGTATTATACTGAGCAATGACTTCAATCTGAGGGAAACTGTCACAGCTTCTAAGAGCTGGGTACAACTCATTAATTCTTCTTCTAGTTAGGTCATAAAAGCAAAAACTTTAAATGATTGTGACCTCCTTTATACTACGTATTTTTTATCCGTCAAACGTATACCTGATTACCTACTTGTGTTATGTATTAAACTACTAGGGTTACAGATTTGATTTTTTTCATGTCTTTTTCTACTTATAAAGTCTTATTTTAGGAAATAAATACGGATTTAAGGTCAGTTGGAGGTTAACAAATCATTATTTTATGTACTTCATCTTAGGTGAATAGTATAATAAGAATATGGTTATTATTTTCGAATTTTTATAACTTTATTGATTGGTGGGATAACAAGAATTTATTTTTACCTATTCTCTTCACGTACTCTTATTTTAGGAAACAATTATTGGTTTAAGGGTGAGATAGGTGATTAATAAATGCTTATTTCATGTACTCCATAGTTATTAGTGTAAAGATATGCAATGTTATTCAATGTATACTACAGTACTTGATTTTAGCATTTAGGTGGAATAGTGTACTATGTAACTATGATTTTTTTTTTTATACATTTGACTATATTTCTCATATTATCTCTCCCTTTATAATTGACAATCTAATTAACAAAACATGTATTTCGAGCTGAATATTTTTCACATGAAATCGCATAAATCTAGTGATGCTGAAATGAACACATAATCTCCCTCTTCATTAGCCATATGACCACCTCAACTCCATTCATATCTGCTTATGTAGACTGAAATGGGCGGTAGTCCGTGAAGGACACACGAATTCTAGACCATGTGGGCCCAAAACCAATAGGATCTTAAGGACCTTACCTTCAATTTAAACTTGTAGGTCCTTCACTCTCCTTCCACGTAGTCCAATTTAGTGTTTTTTTTTTTTTTTTTCTCCACATTATCCTTTTTCTATATACAGGTATCTGGAATCTTAATCTGACGGCTAATATCTCAAGTTGCCAAAGATAAATAAAAGTCGAAATTTCCTCCGATAGAATAAGATAAAAAAAAACCATACTTTAGCTACCAAATATAACGACTTTTAGCTTTTATTTTATTTTATTTTATTTTGGATTTTGGAATACAACGAACTTTGGCAATACATAAGGAGATCAGAGATATTCTGGAGAGAGAAAAGGAGAAGCGAAAGATGGCTGTTGTGGTAAAGGCAACTCCATTAACGTTTGTGGTACACGCGCTAGCGGTAGCATGCGCAGTGATGGTATTGGTTTGGTGCATCCACTTCCGAGGTGGTTTGGCCTGGGAAACTACCAATAAAAGCCTCATCTTCAACGTATGTTCCCTAACTACCATTCCCTCATTTTTGATCTTGCCCTTTTATTTTATTTTTTTACTTCCCTATTTTTGCTTTACAGTAGTGTCATTTTACATTTTTAATTGTCCCAAGAATAGGACTGATGATTTTATTTTACTGAAATTCGGAATTTGATCAATGATTATAGTTCCCAATTTGGTGGGAACACCCAAAAAAAAAAAAAAAAAAAAAAAACTTTACAGGAAAAAAATATGTATGAAGCCACCAATCTCGCAGTAATTCTACTTAGTTTAAGTTTATTTTTGAATCAACTATAAGCACTAATGGGAAGCTGTGTAATTGAAGGGTGTTAGATCGCAGTATTCTATTGTCTGCTTGTATCCCTCAGAAGATGATAATTTTGGACTTTTGGTTGGTTTAGGTATGAGATAGGTGTGTATGTGACAATTAAAATTGCACTTGTTTTTGACTTTCTATATTTATTAGTATTAGTATGTGAGCAGTTGGAAGCCCATTGGCTTTAGTGTCCAGATGATTGTCTTTAACAAATGATAAAGAGTATTTTCTTTGGAACTTGGAAGAATGTGTCTAGTTGTCTAGATGATACAAGTCTATTTAGCCCCTTCGTTGAATTTGATACGGTGCAACCAAGACTTGTGTTTCTTGGACATCCTTGATGAAAAATGTTTCTAGTACAAGAAACTCCAAGGTTTGAATATGTGATAATTGTCTGAAATAACTCGATATGCTCCCCTTCCAAGCTTCAAGATTCCTAAATTGTCCTTTATAAA